AGGCTATATACTGTACGATTCCAACAACATGACATTCTGGAAAAGGTGAAACTATGAAAACAGTAAAAAGTTCAGTTTTTGTCAGAAGGATGAACAGGCAGAGCACAGATTTTTAGGGCAGTGAAAATACTCTCTCTGATACCATAATGATGGATGCATGTCATTATACATCTGTCCAAACCCACTGAAAGAGTGAACTGTAATGTAAACTATGGACTTTGCATGATTATGATGTGTCCAGTTAGATTCATCAGCTGTAACAAACGTACTGCTCTGGTGGAGGATATTGATAATGGGAGGAGGCCACACATGTGTGGGGGAAGGAAGTACATGAGAAATCACTATACCTTCCCCTCAATTTTGCTGTGAACCTAAAACTGCTCTAAAAAAATTAATTAAAAAAAGTGAATTTTATGATATGTGAATTATATCTCAATAAAAGATAGTGAGAAAGCAAAAGAAAATGAACAGTCAAGAGATATGAAATCCTACACCCATCCTATAGGAGTTTCAGGAGTAGAAAACAGATGAAACAGTGATGAAGAAATCATAAAAAAATAGGAAAGCTAAAGAAAGGCTGAAGCATCTATTAGACCAACTGCCAAAGCAAATTAATAAAAAGAGATAACTGGACACATTCTAGTAAAACTTTGAGGGCCTGGAACAAAAAGAAACATTCAGACACTGAGAAACAAAATCAAACTAGTCACATATAAGCGGAAGAAAAAGATGGGTTGGCTCCTGAGTCTGCCAGAGCTTCAGTCAGCAAAGGAGAGAGAGCAAAGTCCAAGCATGACCCTAGGGCGCAAGGTCTCATTCAATCCCTTATGCCTGAGCCCTAAAACCACAGAGAGAAAGACTCAAGAAGGCAACAACTCCAGAAGTAACACCTCTGAGAGATCCTCTTAAAAGAAACTACCAAATAATTAAATCTAATCAACCAAGAGGTAAAGTAGAGCAAAGAATTCACAAATGGAGAAATCGTATTTAAAAAATTGATGATGAACATTTACTTCACTTTATTCAAGTAATATTTGAAAAATTAGAAAAAAATAGAAAAATCCTTTTTAAAATTCATATGAATCTCAAGGGACCCCAAAGAGCCAAAATAATCTTGAAAAAGAAGAAAAAAGTTGGAGGTCTCACACTTTCTGATTTCAAAACTTCAAGATATTGTGGTACTGGCATAAAAACAGATCTATAGACCAATGGAATAGAATAGAGAGCCCAGAAATAAACTCTCATATATATGGTCAAATGATTATCAACAAGGGTGCCAATACCATTCAGTGGGGAAATGACAGCCTTTTCAACAAATGGTCCTGGGAAAACTGGATATACATGTGCAAAGAAATGAAGTTGGACCCTTACCTAACACCATATACAAAAATTAACTCAAAATGGATCGAAAACTAAATGTAAGAGCTAAAACTAAAAAACTCTTAGGAAAAACATAGATGAAAAGCTTTATGACACTGGATTGGCAATGATTTCTTGATAGAACACTAAAAGCACAGGGAACCAAAGGAAAGATGGAAAAATAGGGTTTCATCAAAATTTACACCTTTTATGCATCAAAAGACACTATCAACAGACTGAAAAAGTAACCCTCAGAATCAGAGAAAATACTTGTAAATCATATATCTGATAAGGGGTTAATATCCAGTATATATAAAGAACTCCTACAAATCAACAACATAAAACAAACAACCCAATTAGAAAATGAACAGATATTTCTCTAAAGAACATAAACAGATGACCAATAAACACATGAAAAGATGTTCAACATTACTAGTCATTAGTGAACTACAAATCAGAACCATAATGACATACGGCTTCACACCTATTAGGATAGCTACTACCAAAAAAAAAAAAAACCAAAGGGAAGTAAAAAACAAGTGTTGAACAGTATATGGTGAAATTGGAACCCTCATGCACTGCTGTAGGAATGTGAAATGGTGCAGCTACTGTGGAAAACAGTATGATGGTTCCTCAAGAAGTTGAACGTAAGATTGCCAAATGATCCAGCAACTCCACTTCTAGATATATACCCAAAAGAACCAAAAGCAGGGACTCAAACAGATATTTGTACACCAGTATTCACAGCAGCATCATTTGCAATAGTCAAAAGAAGAAGCAACCCACATGTGCATCAACAAATGTGTCACATACATATATGGAACATTATTCAGCCCTAAAAAGGAATGACATCCATGCTACAACATGGATGAACTTTGAAAACATTAAGCTAAGTGAAATAAGCCAGACACAAAAGGACAAATATTGTATGAGCTCACTTATACTAGGTATCTAGAATAGGCAATTCAGAGACAAAAAGTAGAACAGAGGTTACTAGGGCCGGGAGGACAAAGAACAGCGAATTACTGACTAATGGGTAAGAGCTTCTGTTTGGGATGATGAAAAAGTTCTGGAAATTGATACTGGTGATGGTTGCACGACACTGTGAATATACTTCATGCCACCGAATTGTACACTTAAAAATGGCTAAAATGGGGCCAGCTATGGTGTCCTAGTGGTTAAGTACAGCATGCTCTGCTTTGGCAGCCTGGATTCAATTCCCAGGCGCAGAACTACACCGCTCTGTTAGCAGCCATGATCTGCTGGCAGCCCAAATACTAAAAAACAGGAAGACTGGCATGGATGTTAGCTTAAGGCAAATCTTCCCTAGCAAAAAAAAAAAAAAAAAGGTAAAATGGTAAATTTTATGTTATGTATATTTTACCACAAAATTTTTTAATTAAAATATCATGATTGTATGTGAATTATATCTCAATAAAGTTCACTGGCAAGGGTTATAAAATTTGATAAATATCCACTGTTGAAAGTTCTAACAAAAGGTGATTTTTATACACATTGACTGGAAATGCATACTGATACAGTATTTCTAAAATGCATTTTAGCAATTTATCAGAACTCACAAAAATATTTATTGCCTTCTACCCATTTGTTCTAATTCTATGAATCTGCCCTAAGGGGAAAAAGTAAAAACAGATAGGCACAAAGATTTAAGCACAAAAATGTTCATCAGTATATTGTTTACAATATATAATACTATCCAAAAATAGGTCATGGTAAATAAAATAATCAGACATTCACAACATATTTTTAAAAAGCCATACCTTAAAAAAGTATCTTAGACAAATAATTAATGGCATTAAAGATATATAACATGTTATAAGGGGAAGAGAAACTTATAAAATTATGTCATGCTATTCTATTTTGTTTTTCTATTTGCTGAACAAAGCCAATAAAACTACCCCCTTCCACAGTGATTATCCCCCTGCTACGTGAAGGCCCCTCCCCTCATCATATGCTATCATGGTGATACAACCTGGTCAGAGACCTCACTGGAAGGAGGGTGTTTGAAAGAAGAGAGAGAGAGTAAATGAAGGCTCCATGCAGGGGACTTCTCTACCTTACTATTTATCATTTTCCTCAAATTAAAATTGTTTTACAATTAAACTTCAATGAATACAATAGCAAAAAACTTTAAAGACAGGATCAAGAATGGAAAGGATCAAGAATGTCTCTTTTTAAAAGGCAGCAGGGGGCACCCCATTCAAGGATATAACAAGTTTTAGCTAAAGTGTTAGATTTTGTTGGTTGATTTTTAATGAGCATACCACAAACCTTCTCAAAGTTTTACATGCTAAAACTACCTAAAAATTCTATTTTGCAATGCCAGATTTTACCTTGAGAGAGTAACAGCAGAAGATGCATAAGAACAATTGTCCAAAAAAGCATTTTGTTTTTTGTGATTTTTTTTTTAGGAAGATTAGCCTAACACCTGGTGCCAATCCTCCTCTTTTTGCCGAGGAAGACTGTCCCTGAGCTAACATCCGTGCCCATCTTCCTCTACTTTATACGTGGGATGCCTGCGTGGCTTGCCAAGCAGTGCCATGTCTGCACCCGGGATCCAAAGTGGCAAACCCCAGCCGCCGAAGCAGAATGTGTGCACTTAACCACTGCTCCGCCCAGCTGGCCCAAAAAAACATTTTGTGAACATCTGTTGTTTCCCCCCATTTCACCAGCATGGAAGAATAATTACTATCTTACCACTATCACATTTCACAAAATCCCTTCAAGTTCATGTTTTCATGTGCTTCTCTTAACAATAATACAAGATAAGCAAACGATAATAACTACAACTTCTACACCCCCAACATATACTAAGCACCCACGAAGAACCAGGCACTGTGCAAGGTATTTCATATACTTATGTCATTCAAAATTTAATTATTACTAAAAAATCTATGAAGTAGACACACTATTCCCATTTTACAGATGAGAAAAACAAGGCTCAGCAGTTAAAGCAATTTGCCCATAGGGCAGATCTATGATCGACATTCAGGTCTGTCAAATCTAAAGCCTATACAATGTCATCATCCTACAAAGACTTCCCAGGAAGCTAAGACTTGGAAAGAGGCAATCATCTGGCCAAGTCTAATTGGCAACCAGAGCCCAGAACCTTCTAACACTGTATCTAATGTGCTTTTCACTAGGGCATGCTGCCTCCATAACAAGCAAGTACACGTCCTTCCACCAAGAGCTTACAGATCATGATCCCATTAAATTTTAAATAACGTCATAAGGAAGCAATGCACTACATAAGGGAAAGATACAGCGGCAAGAGAAAAAGCCTTAGGAAGCGTAACTAAATTAAAACACAGGGATCAAGGGTAAAGTATCTGATAAAGAATACTCAAAAGAATTACAGTTAATAACATTTCCAGATGAAGTTTATATAATCCTAGAATTATATTTATAATATTCTAATTTTATAATATAGGATAAGGACTATTTTTAAATTTTTTTAAGTTTACAAATGATGCCTATAAAAATTGCCTATTGTTTCAGAGTTATCGTTACTTCAGAATATTTTATGATCAAGTATTTAGGTCTATGTGTTTTTGATAAATATGTATAACTACTCAATAAAATAATGAAGAATAAATTATTAAAATATAAATGTTACTTACATATCCCAGTTTGGAGCTATTCGCAAATGCTGGATTAGCAATTGGAACTAGAATGAAAAATTAAGATGCAGATTTCATTCATGAAACAACAGAGAAAGTGACCGCTAAATTAACAAATCAGACCTGCATACAACTGAAATGTGAATCCCGCATCAAGGAGATAATTATTTACAAAAATGCCAAAGCCTGAGTATATGAATAAGATAAAAATAAAAACCAAGAACAGTACTTTCAGTTTCTCCTGCCCAGTTATAGTCCCTAAATGCACCCTACCCCTCACCTAAGAAATACACACCAAGTACCAAAAAAGCAACTTTAATACTATCCTGAAAGCCAATGAACTTAAATTTTTTCAAGCCAGTTCCAAAATGAGGTCCTACTATGGAAAACACCCCAGACCACTGTAACTCCTCTCTGAGAATAACTTCAAAAGATCTGTCAGATCCTCACGGTTTACCGTTGAACCAAGACAGTCCAAGAAGTAACATTACCAGGGGAAAAAGAAAAAAACGTCTCAGAGACTCAATATCTCCCTTCAGTGTCACATCAGAAACCTTGGAGTTTACCAGGTCGACCCAGGAAAGGAGCCCTTATTCCACATGGGCAGCTCATTCCAGGAGCTGATGAAAGGTCTCTGTCTTACAATTTCAGATATGAAAAGTATCTTACAATTATTACAAGTTAACACAAAACGCAAGCTGGAGCTACAAAAGAAGTTCGAAATCACTGTCTACACAACTGCTTCCAGTCCTAGGAATTAAACAGAAGACAGCTGTGGCAAACTTATAATCTTGATAAATCTTTTTTTTTCATTTTAATTAAATGAAATTAATATTTTAGTACTTGTTTTAATCTCTAGAGAAATCCTGCATGCTGCAAGGACCATGAAGGAGTCTTGTCTTCACAATTTACCTACCAGTGGGGAATGGAGGAGCCTGGTGGCCACCTCCCTGTGACTGGCCACCACACACAGATAGCAAAGGAGATTCAGCTTGGCTCGGGCGGCTCCCGTGCTCTTCTCAGCAGAGTCGATCTGAGAGCAAACTTGTTGCAAAAAGTCATTCCAATCTTGGTCTTTGAGAAATACTAATTTATCCACTGAAGAGGAAAGAAAATATTAAAAGTGAGTACCATGTGAAAAAATATTGCTGAATAGATTACATGAAAAATAAAATGGAACATAGAATTTCAATAGTTAAGGTGAGGACAAAGAAAATCATGACTTCACAATGCCAAAACCAAAAATACTCCAAAGTTGACACTGTTTTCACTTAGTCTTCTATACTCATCTCTTTTTCTACCCGAGGAGACTTTTTAACTATGTCCATGGAAACTATGCTGAAACAAGAAAGCAGATGCCTAAAGGAGAATTATCCCGAGAAAGTACCAAAACACAAAGTTAAATAAAATTGTATTATGAACAAAGAAGATAACCTTGCAAGAAGAAAGCAATCTAGCCTTAAAATATTGGAAAAGCCAAAAATTTTACAGTTGTTAAAAGGTTCCAATGAAATTAGTGTTAAACATAACCAGGTTAATATGACAGCTGAAATTATCTGGGGGTCCTACCCTCAAATCCCTACCCCAACAATAGGCAAAAACCAGGAAACGAGATGCCATCTAGAGGTAACATAGTTTCGGCTGATCTCCATCTTTAAACAAAATAACGGGTAATAATAATTTCCTAAAATAACTCAAAGCAAAGGGGAAAAGGGAAGGAACATTATTTTGAGATAATAATCCTCTAGGTTTTCCCAAATAGTGATTCTACTTGACACAGTTTATTAAAATTTGAATATATTTTATTTTAAATTTACCTTAATTTGATTTCAAACCATAGATTCTACTCTAGTTGTGATGAAAGTTTTTCTGAATATAGTTTAACAGCTTAAAATATAACTTATCAAAGAAAACACATCAAAATTTAAGGTACGAAAAAATTTCTGATGTTCACCCTAAGAAGTTCCATTAGGTGAAAGGAAATGTAACAATCCTTCTTTAAGTATCTCCATTCACACACCAGCCCCACAAATGTGAACCATCTGACCCTGTTCTCAACTGCCCCCCTCGCTCAAGTAGAATCTCGATTCTCCACTGTGGTCTCCAACCCTTTGCACCCACAAAAGCACCATAAGTGGAAATTCAACTGGCTCTGCAATGGGAAGGGCAGGAGAAAGGCTCACCCACTCAACAAGAAAACTCACCAGCTTTATAGGAACACTCCCACCCACAAGAATACAGGGCAGCCCAGACTCAGCTGAGTAAGGTCAAAGGCTGGCACAAATGGATTACTGGCTGCTTTTAATTTACAAAACACTGCCCCAAGAATATCGCCAGTTAGCAAGAAGATAGGAATTTAGCTACTCATAAATCAAATATTCCATTTGCTATTAAATTTCATATTTGTATCTGTCTGCAAAGGGCCTACCTGTTTGATAAGCCCTTTGTGATCCTACCTGAATGTACTGGTAGATGCAGTATTTTTTGATCAAATTTAATTGGTGGTTGTTTCATTATCTGTGGTTAAAAAAAAACAAAAAAAAACCTTTTGAGATGCCTTTTGAGACAGACATCTGTCTCCTGATATATCTCCTTTATCAGATTATAACTCAATGAGGACAGAAAAGAACACTGTAAAATGTCACCAAAAAGAATGAGAATTCAATGGTGCCCTTTCAGATTAAAATATGCAAATATGGATAACAATTTATAAACATCAAACCATTTCAATTGATACCTGCAATAAAACAAAGCTTCATGGAAAAGAGTCACCCCATCTTGGCTTACATTTAAGCTAACTTACCTCTAGGTTAGAAATTTAGTCATTCAACAAATATTTATTGGGTACTGCCAGGGTGAGGTACTATGCAAAGTGTTAAGAGGGATAGAAAGATAGAAAAGACATGATCCTACTGTCAGAGAGCTGGTACTCTGGTTAATAAGACAATCATTTTTTAAACAATTTAAAAAAGTATTTAAGTAACAATGCAAATCGGGCATGATATACTTACAGACAAAATATTTCACAAAAAGAATTTTATTTTAAGTATCAGAGAAAGCAGCAAGCACTTTAGGCTGATGTGGTCAGGACAGGTTTATGGAAGAGGCAGAAGGTTGGCTGAGGTCTTAAAGAACGGGTGGGACTTGACGGGTGACCTAGAGAAGACACTGTCCCAGGAAGCTGTAACAGCCTGAACAGGAAAGTACACAATTTTTTTGAGGAAAGTGAAGAAAAGAGGTAAGTTGGATCCATGAGTTTGGAACAGCCAGGTACTCCACCCTGAGTTTTTCAATAAAAAATTCAACCATCACTTCTATGTCTAACTTCTCCAGAATCTCTCTATAGAGCATTTTTAAAACCTTTGCTGCTAGTATGCTTGGCAAAAATGCATAATCTCATTCTAATCATGAGAAACCCTGAGACAAGCCCAAACTGAGGGACATTCTAGAAAATACCTGACCAGTGTACAAAACACGTGACCACTTCAAAGTGTCAAGGTCACGAAAGACAAGAAAAGACTGAGAAATTACCCCAAGGCCATGAAAGACAAGGACAGACGGTAGGAGAGTAAGGAGTCATAACAACTAACTGTACTGAGGGATCCTGGAGCAGAAGGAGGACACAAGCAGCACAAACTGGTAAAGTTCAAGTAAGTTCGGTAACTCACAACTAGAGTATACAACTAGGTACTGGGGAGCTTTGGGGAGAAGAAAAAAAAATATTGGCAACAGATGTCAGCTCAGGTGCCAATCTTAAAAAAAATAAAAAAAAATAAGTTTGGTAGGTTAATTAATAGCACTGTACCAATGTTAATTCTCTGGTTTTGCTAATTCCCTGGTTATGCTGTGGTCCTACGAGACGTTAACATTAGGAGAAGCTGGGTAAAAGGTATTCAGAAACCCTACTATGTTTGAACCTTTTCTATACATCTAAAATTAGTTCAAATAAAACAGTTAAAAAAATAAAAACTGCTACTGGCTGAGGTTTCCACAACTAAGTATGGTTATAAGGAGAAATATAGAGAGAATATGGTCAAAAGATATCACAAATTGTTCCAGAAGGTCCACTGGGAAAATGCCCCATTACACATTAAATTTGCCGTATTATACCATTACTCTGCCAGAGATCTGAACTTATAAAAAGAATTAGCTCCATTATGAAAAATAGCTGGGTGATCTATAGTAAATGTTGTCTATCTAGTAAGTAAACAGGCAGCCAAGAAATCATTTGCTCTAAACTAATATTCTCCAATGAGATGAGAGGAAATCGTCATAAATTAATAGAGAGAAAGACATTTAAGAAAAAAAAGCAGGAAAATTAAAATACAGAATAGGTAGTGAAATGTGAGTATGTGATCAAGAGAAAAACAGAGGGACTGAGAAACCAATTTTCTTTGAGGAGAATATTCACCATCCCCTAGTAATACAGTACTACATTCCAAAAGACGCGAAGCAACAAAAATCACACTAGGTTGGAAGTACACTGTGAACCACGCCTCCCCAAGCTCCCAGTGTCTCCCCACTGTCTACCCTGCAGTCCTGACAAGCTGTGACAGGGTAGGGCCTCTGTGTGATCTCTCCACCCACTCCAGCCTGGTGAGCAGTGCTGACTGACAACTGCCTTCGTAACACATCAACAATTAGAATATTTGGAGTAATTCACCTAAGTACACATGGAGAAACGAAGGGACTGAGGGCAAAGGGCTGAGGTCTAGAAGTCAGCAGCCACTCCTCAGGCGATGGACTGATAAAAGGCAGAGAAAATGCGGAGGAGGAGGAAAACTCACCCCTCCAGTGAAGTGGAAAGCAATGTAGGAAGAGGAGAGGGTTACAGACAGGGTGGGAGTCAGAAATGCAGACATGTGGCACGAATGAAATAAAAGCAGACAAGAGGATCAGGAAAGAAAATTAGGCAAAGAATATCCGGAAGGAAAGTATCACCCAGATTTCTGCCCTCAGTGTAGTCTAAGACTCATCCCTCAGTTATTAGGGCATCTTTCTGCACCTTCGGATTGTCGATAATTGGGGTGATGACAAGATCTGAGTCTGTGTAGATAAGCTCTCTCATCTGGGATTCGAGGTCCTGCTGACTCAGGTGTCCACTTGTAATCTGAAACAAAAACAAAAATTAGACTTTGTTTCTGTGACTAGTGAAGGGCTCTAAAAGACTGAGATAATAAGATGCTGAGTTAAGACACCAGTGAAAAAGGTCACCTATATCAATGTACCTCAACTGCTACTCAAAACACTTTCACAGATAGTCTCATTTGATTGTCATAAAAATCCTAAATCATATGTATCATCATTCCCATTTTTATAGATGAAAAACACAAGGCTCAGGGAAAGTAACTGACTCGCTCATGTTTACCACAAAGTCTGGTTAGGACTAGAAAACAGATCTCCTATAGTTTGATGTTCTAAACTATGATGAGGTAAATCGGTTTTAAAATTATCAGCATGGTTTTTAATCTCTTATCCACCAACTCTAATCAATTTCTTTCTGCTTTACAGAATATTAAATATAAAGTTAAAATTATAGCATAAAAAATTTCAGAGTGAAGTACTGACCTGTTACCTAAGTGCTCAACATCTCTATCTTTATAAAGCCTAGTTAGAGTAGAGTTGATACGTAACAAAGATGAAGAACTAGCTGTTGGATTTCAGTTATTCCTCTGAGACATTTCCTTGTGCTCTCGACAGAACTTTTATTCCTAGTGCAATGTCTCAGTGTTTCGCATCACACAAAAAAAGGATTTATGCATTGAGAACTTCCAGTGAAACACTGACCAGCAAACTAAATATAACAGAAGACCTGATCAGTGAAGTAAAAAATGAGGAAAAGAAATTATCCAAAACTGAGGTAGGGGCATGGATAAAGGAACAGAATAATCAGCAAATAAAGTTCCCAGAAGCCAAGACCACCCCTTTGCAGCTCAGCAGACGGACATACAAAAAAACACATGAAGAATAAGTAAGCAGGAACTTTGTAAAAATCTTTCTTTAAAGATGCTTACAAACATGCACTTTCAAGACAGAAAGACTTGAAAGAAAAGCCAAAATAAATCAACTGAAAAATTATTAAAATAATATAAGAATTAGTAAGGTAGACCAATTAGAAAACTTATACATAAAAATTAATTTCCTGTATATAAACTGAATGGATGTACAAATAGCAGTTTATAAAAATGAAATATCCCATTCACAACAGCAAAAAATAAACAGAATAAAATGCTCAGGAATAAACTAAGTGATCAAAAATTACAATGAGATCTCATTTACTAAATGAAATATTAAGTGTAAAATTATGTTCCCTTGTTTGAAAATGAACATATATGTATAGAACCAGAAGTGGGAATGCCAAAATGTAATCAGTGGTTACTCTGGGTAATTAAATTATAAGTCGTTTTTAAATTTTCTTTGTTCTTATCGACATTTTCCAAGTTTTCTACAATTATTATGGGCTTTGTGTAACTGAATAAAAAATTATTTAAAAACTATAATATAAACTCCTTTATAGTACTTAAATAATTAGTTTGAAGATTCTCAATTGATTACATACACTTCTCTAAAATAACCACCTGTCAGAAGAGATTCAACATCTAACACATTTCAGAATGCATTTTTCACTTTTACACTAATTTTCCATATCACATACAACCAAACAATTTTTAGCAGAGTGAGATTTAATTATAATCCATTTATATTTCATTTCAACACAGGAATAAGTTTCACATGGTCCAAATGTACTTCACATTACATAAAAATTACAGTAACAACTGAAAGCAAGTATATCTATCAAACAATAAGTATAACAAAAGATAACTTGGAAAACCTTTTTAATTCAAAATATTTCTACATTCAAAACAATTATGATTGAAAGAAATTACAGACCTAAATAAACAGGAAGACATCCCATGTCCATGAGGGAAACCTTTTTACCTTGTTAGGATGGCAATACTCCCCAAACTGACCCACAGAATCAATGCAATTGCTATCACCATCCCAGCTGGCTTCTTTGCAGAAACTGACAAAATGATCATAAAATTCATATGGAAATGCAAGGGACCTAGAAGAGCCAAAACCACTTTGAAAAAGGACAAAGTTGGAGGAATCATACTTCCTAACTTCACAACTTACTAAAAAGCTACAGTGATCAAGACAGTGTGCTACTAACATGAGGAAAGACAGATCAATGGAATAGAACTGAGAGTCCAGAAATGAGCCTTCACATTTACAGTCAATTGATTGATATTCAACAAGAATGTCAAGACAATTAAATGGGAAAAGTCTTTTCAAAAAACAATGCTCAGATAACTGGACATCCACATGCAAAACAATGAAGCTAGACCCTCTATCTCAGGCCATATACAAAAATTAACTCAAAATGGACTAAAATCTAAATGTAAGAGTGAAGCACAGGCATAAACCTTCATGACCTTGGAGTAAGCAATGGTTTCTAAATTATGAAACCAAAAGCAAAAGCAACAACAAACACACATAAAAAAGGATAATTTGAACTACATCAAAATAAAAACTTTTGTGCTTCAAAGAACACCATCAAGAAAGCGAAAAGACAACCTACAGAATGGGAGAAAATATCTACAAATCATAAATCTAGAATACACAAAGAATTTCTACAACTCAACAAATGGGCAAAGGGTGTAAATAGACAGTCTTCCAAAGAAGATATACAAATGGCCAATAAGCACATGAAAAAGACGCTCAACATCATTAGCCATCAGGGAAATGGAAATCAAAACCACAATGAGAAAAAATTTCACGCCCACTAGTATGGCTATAATAAAAAAAGAGACAATGCAGCATTATTCACAATAGCCAAAGGTTGAAGCAACCGAAGTGTCCATCAAACAATGAAATAATAAATTGGTATATACACACAAAGGAACAGTATTCAGCCTTAAATGGGAAAGAAATTCTGATACATGATACAACATGATGGACCTTGAAGATGTCATGCTAAGTGAAATAAACCAGACACAAAAGGACAAATATTGTATGATTCCACTCAAATTTATAGAGGCAGAAAGCAGAACAGTCATTACCGGGCTGGGGGCAGGAGAAACAGAGAGTTATACTTAGCGAGGAGAGTTTCGGTTTGGGATGATGAAAAAGGTCTGGAGAGGGATAGTGGTGAAGGTTGCACAACAATATGAATGTACCTAATGCCACTGAGCCATACACTTAAAAATGTTCAAAACAGTAAATTTTACGTAATGTATATTTCACCACAACTTAAAAAAAGAAAGACAGACAATAACAAGTTTTGGGGAGGATGTATAAAAACTGGAACTCTCACACATCGCTGGTGAGAATGTAAAATGGTGCAGCTGCTTTGGAAAACAGTTTGGCAGTTCTTCAAAAGGTTAAACATAGAGTTACCCTGTGATGCAGGAATTCCACCCCTGCGGATAGAAAGAGAAACCAAAACGTACGCCCACACAAAAACACGTACACAAACATTCACAGCAGCATTATTCCTAATAGTCTAAAGGTGGAAACCCAAACGTTTATCACCTGATAAATGGAAAAATAAAATGTGGTATATACAATAGAATATTATTTGGCAATAAAAAGGAATATACTACTGACACAGGCTACAACTTGGATGAATCTTAAAAACATTAAGTGAAAAAAGATCACATATTAATTATTCCACTTATATGAAATGTCCAGAAAATGCAAATTTATAGAGACAGAAAGTAGATTAGTGGTTGCCTAGGATGAGAGGGGAAAGAAATTGGGGGAAAATAGGAGAGTGACTACTAATGGGTATAGGGTTTCTTTGTGGGATGATGAGAGTGGTCTAAAATCGACTGGGGTGATGGTTGCCTAACTCTGTGAACATGCTAAAAGCCACTAAATTGTAAACTTTAAATGGGTGAATTACATGGTATGTCAACTATATCTCAATAAAGCTGTTAGCAAAAAACACTAAAGCAACTCTGTCTTAAGAGTACTTACTAGAAAAACTAATGATAATCAAGGAAGATGGCTTAATTGTAAATTTTGTAATTATGAACATAGTTCAGAGATCAACTTGCAATTATTCTTGTGAGTCTCTATATCTTATGTAAAAAAAAAAATTCCATCTCTGCTCACCTTGGTCACAGGAGAAGTCTTCTGTGGTGAATTTTGAGTCATATCCTCACCAGGACTCAATTCCAGGGCAGTGCTGGTTCTTGGAGTAGGACGAGAACTGAAAAATACACACCAGGCAACATTATCCAGAGTTTAGAACTTTATCTTCTGTTTCCTGTTTTCTGGGAAAAAACACATCTCATGAAAAATGAGAAATGAAAAATGGTAGAATATGGTGATTCTATGTGATCTCATATATAAAAAAAGTTTAAACTCTAATTTGTATTTATATGATGCTATTCTTTTTGTAACTGTTTTTAATCTCCCGACCATTACTTCTTTTATTTACAGCTTCTATGCTATATACAGTATTTTCTGTTTTAACTAGAAACCTTAAGACACTCATTTTACGATTTTTTAAATGTCTGCTAGTGTAGGCAGGATTAACATAATAAAATAGATCAAATATTCTACAAAGGATGGAAAACATTTACAATTCTATTTCAGAAAATTTTGAAATGGAAAATTAACTTGGTACCTATTTAAGATAGGTAACAAATAAATTATCGTCTGCATCTATGTTCAGTGATTCCTCCCGCATCTATAAATGGTTGCCGTATTCTGTGGGGGTCACTCCATTACTCCTGGGTCTGTGATTTTGAGTTTTTCACATTTTAAGAAATTCTTCCACTCAAATCATTGGAGTCTTTTTAAACAAATTCTTTCAAATTCCCAAATATCAGGATTCTCACCTCTCTTTCACTTTTCTGTTTATTCACTCATTAAATAGGTACTTACTTAACTCACAAAATATGCCAAAGATTAGCCAAAGTTTTTAAAAAATTGAATTTAAAATGCCTAAGATGTAGGTAGATAAATTTAACATGTTTTATATTTAAATATGAGTAAAACAAATCAGGAAATTTTAGCTTACTGTTATAACCCCTGTGTCATTAAATAAAACTATTTCTCTGAGACTAAAACTATAAATAAAATATAAGACAATATTTCATATTATTAAATTTTTAAATACATTGGTCTTAATCACATTAAAACACCATTCTAATCTTTTATTATTTCAATGATCGCACTGAAATAATGAACGTTGTTTAAGCCTCCACATAGAACAACAGTTAAAGAAAAACATAACCTGTTCTTTTCTGTAAGTCTATATCCAATAAAGAAGCTGGACTTCTGAAATTTTAAATTCAATTCTATTTGAAGTGAAAATACAAAATGAAGAGGTTTTAACCCCTATAAATAGGAAAGATAAGGTAGTTTCGTTAAAAAATTTTTTAAATACATTCCATTGGCCAGCACTTAATGGTAACTTTGAAAGCAGAGAGTGAAACTGGAATTTGGCGTTCATACCCCTGCCCTTGCTCTGTGTGTAACACGGTTTGCCACCAGGACAACAGATGATTTGAGAAGATTTAAATTTCACCTCCCATGGACTCTTACTGCTCTGTCATTTTACATACCTGAGAAGAAACATGGACTCACTCGGTTGACCCCCAAGAGTACTCTTAGGCCTCAACTCAGTTGGATTTTCTGTGACAGGAGAGTAAAACATTATCCAAAAAGGAACAAATATATCATGAGCAGGACATAAGGCAGACAGAAATGTAAAGAGAAAGATAAAAACAAACTAGGAAGTCTAGAAATAGCATCTGAAGCAGCATGAATGTTCTCCAATGAAAGCTCACCTAGTCTGAAAGAGTGACTCAGTCGCTGACCACTCTTCTCCCCTTTTGCTTGTCCACTCTGAGGGCTCCTCAAAAGCTCCTTGGAATCTTGTATACCAGAACACTCCACCACGTTTCTGCTGTTCGAGAGGAGAAAGCCAATACAATCAAAGTTACTTGGGAGCTCTGTATAGTTTTCCACATAGAACAAGAGGTTGGAAAGATAATTAAATTATATACAACATATATGTACTAAGTCTGTAAACCTTATCCCTGAAAAATAAAGGGCAGTGGGCATATTGGGGAAGCAAACCAGAACTTGAAGTACCAGTTAACCAGCAGTGGGTTTCCCTTTAATTTTCCCGCTTCCAGTATTGTGCAATCTGGACTCAAAGGCAGCGAGTACAGACAGAAGGAGCCCCAAAAGAAGCTTGCTATTTCTTTTCCAAGGAACAGGAAAGGGGAGCCCTAAGGGTCAGAACAGGGGAAATCCTCTAGTTTTTCTTTTTCTTTTTTCCATTTTGTCCTGTCCCAACCCCCAGGCAATCCTGCAGCAGCTGGTTGGGGACAGCACATCTTCCAGCCAGTGCCTAAAACTTTGAGGGAGGGGCATCCTCTTCTCTAACCAGAGAGCTATGATGCCAAGAATGTGAGGCAAATCCCTGTTGCTCTGCTCTCTTTTTTTTCTCTCTTGTTGTCCTCCCATCACTTGGCCCCAAACACATCCAGCAAGACATAAAAGTATAATATATCATGACTAAGTCAGTTTGTTGTGGGAATTCAAGGCTGGTTCAATATTTGAAAACCAATTTATGTAAGAGTCCATAACGAGAGTCTAAAGAAGAAAAACCGTGGGGCTGGCCCAGTGGTGCAGCAGTTAAGTTCGCACATTCCGTTTCTCAGCCCAGGTTTCTCCGGTTTGGATCCCAGATGCGGACACGGTACCACTTGGCAAAAGCCATGCTGTGGTAGGCGTCCCACGTATAAAGTAGAGGAAGATGGGCATGGATGTTAGCTCAGGGCCAGTCTTCCTCAGCAAAAAGAGGAGGATTGGCAGCAGTTAGCTCAGGGCTAACCTTCCTCAAAAAAAGAAGAAAAACCGCATGATCCTATCAACTGATACAAAGAGGCATTTGACAAAATTCAACATTCAAACTGAAAAAGGGCAGCTACAAAAACCTCCAGCTCATCATACTTGATCGGGAAAAGCTGAATGCTTTCATCCTAAAATCAGAAACCAGGCAAGGATGTTCACTTCATCACTCCTGATTCAATATCTTACTGAAAAGATCCTACCAAGGGCTATAAGGTGAAAACAAGAAATAAAAGGCATATAGATTAAAAAGGAAGACAACAAACTAAGGTCAGAGGTGTTCTGTGACTTGCTGACACTGACAGGCCAGGACCAGAGCCCAGTTTTCTGTAGTTCCCACAGAGCCTAATACAATGGTTAGAACACAGTTGAAGCTCACTAGATCACAGAAACCAAAGTTTGAGAGAGACCTCAAATAGAATTCAGACTTTCCTATCCAAAACACTGAATGTGTCAAGATTAAAATTAAGAATCAGACAATCATTTACCACTGAATGAGTTGAGGGAGGAAAAGTCAATTACCAGGATTTTATTCAACTACTTCTCACCTTGTTCTTTTCAAAATACCATCACTTCTGTAAGTATCCTGGGCTAAGAAGATTTTATAATAAAAATGAACTATATTATTCAGGATGGGCCAGGTTATTCTGTGATTACAAACATCCCACAAATCCTAGTGGCTTAGAGAAATCTCCTAACTTGATGGCTCACTCATGCACATAGCCATTGAACGCTGGCGGGAAAGCTATGCTCATCATAGTCTCTAAAGACCCGGTCTAACAGCAACTCCATTTGGACATTTTCTTCCCAATTACCTAATCAGGAGGAAGAAACGTGGGAAATCACACACTATCTGTTAAAATTTCTATCCAGAAATAACACACATCACTTCTGCTCACATTTCATTAGTCAAAGCAAGTCACATGACCAAGCCTAACTTAAAAGGAGGAAGTGAGATCCTACCGTGGGCTTGCGAGTGGGAAGCCAGTTATATTTGGTGAACAGAACCAATGACTACCATCCTAAATCACTGACCGGATAATAAACAGCTGATCAGAAAATGAGCAAAATCAAGAACATTAAAATGTCATGACTAGGGGCCGCCCCGTGGCCGAGTGGTTGAGTTTGCGTGCTCAGCTTCGGCGGCCCAGTGTTTCGCCAGTTGGAATTCTGGGTGCGGACATGGCACTGCTCACGAGACCATGCTGGGGAGGCATCCCACATGCCACAACTAGAAGGACCCACAGCTAAAAATACACAACTATGTACCCGGGGGCTTTGGGGCGAAAAAGGAAAAATAAAATCTAAAAAAAAAAAGTCATGACTAAACTCTTTAAGCAATCCCCAATTAAACAAATGCTCGATTTTTTCCAACTATGAAAGCATACAAATTCATGTCATTGATGCTGCATTATTACAACAGTAATGGGAATGAGTGTTTAATAACCATGCCCCAGAGACAAAGATAAGCTTATCCCACCTGACGTTGGAATCCTCAGTGCTTGAGTCTTGATCTTTTCTAGTGAAAGCATTCTTCCAAAATGAATGCTGCAGTAGGCCCGCCCAAGTTAACCTTTATCAATCACAAATGTTAAAATTCTATTTTAACATGATTTACTATGCAGAATTCCCAGGACATGTCTCAGATGTAAAATGAGAGATACAGACTTTACAATTTGTAAATATCTCTATATAAATATACCTCTGCAATTGTTTCATACTTCACTCTTTTAATATGCAATTAATCTGTCTCAGCAACAACAGAGGAAATAATCCAGAATCTTAAATGTTACATTCCCATTTTGAGAAATTTACCCAAAGGAGATAATTGCCTAAGTGAATAAAAACAACCAAAAATATACAAAAGCATATTTTTATTAGAGAATAAAAGAGTCTGACACCTAAGTATCAGAAGTCTCAGGTTCACATTCTGTAGAGCCTGATGAAAATATTTTGGGTTCTCAAAACAGTCTTTGAAGGGAGTCAATAAATAACCTAAAATTCTAAAGTAAATATATCAGATATTATCAATCTATAATTCTGTCATCCTTTACGTCCCAAGAGAGGCTTGATTATTCTAAGCATCCTACCTGTTTCATACATTCAATTTTTGGAACTTCACTTTTAGAACTTCATTCAGAAATAAGAATATCAGCCTCAAGACTACACACAGTCACTCCTCTGTTTAGGAGTCAAATGTTATCCAGCTAGGTCACCAACATCGAAATGATTTCAGGCTGTTATCCAAAACCCAGACTCACTTTCACAGCATTAATACGTCTAGTATATTCATCAGACTCAGAATGGTTAAGCCTGACTGAAATTTTAAAACAAAAATGAAAATAATTTATATTTGATTAAGTACTCACAACTTCTGTATTGAAATAAAAACTACTTCGATCAAAATTAAACACATGATAAAGAGAAAGAATTTGCAACCGCATGTAATACCCCTTTTATACAAAGGGCTCTTAAAATTCACTAACGGAGAAATAAAAATTGTCAATAAAATGGAATTTCTCTTTGATCCATCAGATTGGCAAAAATTTATAAGATCAACAAAGCCCACTGTAGGTAACTGTGGGAGGGAAGGAGTTTTCTAATGTTGCTGGAAGTATAAACCAGCACACGCTCCTGGAACGCAGCAAAGACATCGGACTTTTTAATGTTCTGAGCTTTTGGCCAGCATCCTTGCTTTGAGAAATCTACCCAAAGGAGATAATCGCCTAAGTGAACAGAAACAACCAAAAATACACAAAAACATATTTACTGGAGCAGTATGTAAGATATTGTAAATCCAGAAGCACTGTAAATGTTTATTGTTATCACAGGTTATCACATGCACATTCTGCAGCCATTTCAAATGACTAAGCAGAAATAGAGAAAAAACTAGGTTATGGAATGGTACCATTTAGGCAAAAATTATAAAATATAGGGATACAAATATGTGGAAATAAAGTATATTTGTATCCTATCAAAAGATGTCTGGAAGCTTATCCACCAAAATAACACACATCCTAAAAGGCTTCTATTGTAAGCAGGGGAGGTTTGTCCTATAACTTATACAAGAATTAGCATTTCCTTCTGCAGTTTTTCTCTCATACTTAATGAAGAGAGAGAATGGATTGTTTTATATGCTACACTAAACTTATTCTTCATTTTACATCCTGAAGCAGGGACCTCAAATACTTGCCTAAAACCCACCAGTTACCTGGTGGCAGAAGCAGAACTAGAAACCAGTTGCTCTCGTCTCTTGGGCCCGAGAGAGCCCCTCCCCATCGCCCCCCTCCTCTCCCCTCCCCTGTCCCACGCCACAGGGATTTTTAAGTTTCTGTCATCACTGTAACACAGAAAACTCCCCCTGTGCCTGTTACCCTGTTGCTTGACATCCCTATTATGACAGGATTATCATAAAAACATAGCATATTGAACTACCACTCAGTCATTAGTACGTTAACTACCTTGACAGTACCATCCCTAGTTCACTCGTCTAAGCCAGTTTGAGCCTGAAATCCACAACGGAAAAAAATCCACTTCTTGGATTTGGGAGTTACAAGAAGTCTGCCAACCTACTAGGCAACTATTTAATACATTAAAAGAGAAATTGACTTTAAAAATTCCTCATGATTAAAAACACCTGCAAACAGAAAACACTCAATGTAAACTCAGATTTCTTCTCTTTTTTTAAAAAACAAGAGGTAATTTGAAGATCTCTTTGTATAATAAGAACAGTACTGTTTTAGAAGTAAATGAAAGGAAAAAAAGATTCCACTATTCATTCGTATTAAAATACCATTCATACATACCTTTTCTGAGGATCTTTTTGAAGTAAACCATCAAGCAAATTAATAAAATCTGAAGAAGCTTTAGGAAGAGAAGAATCTATACACAAATTCCCAAAAGAAAAAAAATAAGTAGATGAATACATACCCTACATCAACACTTGAAGTAACAGTATTTTAAGCACATAAATTATTTATATATACATTTTTTTTTTTTTTTTTTTTTTTTTTTTGCTGAGGAAGAGTTGCCCTGAGCTAACATCTGTTGCCAATCTTTTTTTTTTTTTTTTTTTGTATGTGAGCCACCACCACAGTATGGCCACTGACAAGTGGTGTAGGTCCATGCCAGGAAACCAAACCCAGGTTGCTGAAGCAGAGTGCACTGAACTTAACCAGTAGACCACCAGGACTGGCCCCATAAATTACTTTTAAGAGAACACTGAATTCATTAACAATTACACCCTCTATTTAATGGGAGAGGGTCACAAAAATAAAAAACATTTTTTCTTAGACCACAAAAAACATGAATCTCAAAAACTAAGTTTTGACTAACCTCTAAACTTTCTCTTTATTGAATAACCCCAGTAAGGGATCACTAGCCTGACTAACTCAGACCCTTGTCTTCAAGTATTAATTATCTCATTTTCTGCAGCATTCCTCTTCTTCTTCTCCTTCTTTTTTTTTTTTTCTTGGTGAGGAAGATTGGCCCTGAGCGAACATCCATAGCCAATCTTCCTCTTTTCTTTTTTTTGCTTGAGGAAGATTGTTGCTGAACTATCATCTGTGCCAATCTTCCTCTATTTTGTATGCAGGATGCCACCACAGCACGGCTTTATGAGCAGTGTGTAGGTCTATGCCCAAGATCTGAAACTGTGAACCCCAGGCTGCCTAAGCAGAGTGTATGAACTTAACCACCATGCCACCAAGCTGGCCCCTTCTGAGGCATTCTTAACTTGATCAACTTTGCTTCATAATATACTATGATTAGAATACTTGCAGGGGCCGGCCCTGTGGCCTAGTGGTTAAGTTCAGTGCACTCCGCTTCAGCAGCCCAGGTTCAGTTCTCAGGCACAGACCTACACCACTCATCAATAGTCATGCTGTGGCAGTGACCCATATACAAAATAAAGGAAGACTGGAACAGATGTTAGCTCAGGGCAAATCTTCCTCAAGCAAAAAGAGGAAGATTGGCAAGAGATGGTAGCTCAGGGCAATCTTTCTCAACAAAGAAAAAGAAAAAAAAGAATACTTGCAAGGCTTCTTTACTTTGAAGATTTTTAACAAGAAAATAATAAATATCACAATATTATGATACTGTCCACTTCCATTAATCTCCAAATGTTCCATCTTTTAAAAATAGACAGATATATAAAATGACAAAATTATCAGTCTATGGACAAAAGCAGTGGCCATGAAGACAATGGCCAAAGACATGGCCAAGCACCCCCGAGACGAAGCAATCAAAACAGACGGTGTTATCACGCTCTACGGCCAGAGTGCGATGAAGGTCCCTATGACAGCAGTAAGCTTGGGCACCAGTGGTATCGTGACCAGGTCTTTGACACCTGCATCTTCAGATTTCTCGTCCTTGCATAAAAATCTTTAACTTACAGGAGAAAACAATAATCAATACTATGAGTACTTAAAACAAAACAAATCAGAAGTCATCATTACACAAATATGGAATGACTGATTCCCACAAAAACTAAGACAAAATTAACGAAAAAAAAAGAAATATAGCTTTTTAAGAAATATAGACTATTTTTAAAATAAAGTTTTTTTTCTTTCACCTAAGATGATTCTTGAAATAGTGAAATACTCTGTATTGGTATTTCTTCCATTATTTACTTCTGAAAATTTTTTTCTTTTAAAAACTCATGACGCTATTTTTTGTAAAGTCCTGTTTTCATTTATGTGTCTTAAGATTCGCTTTTTTTGTGGTGTACAACAAAGTGGTTCATTATGTTTGTACCTTCTTTTGTTTTTCTTTTCTTCCCTTATAACTGTTAATGGTAGATTGTTGTATTAATCACAATTTGTATGATTAAAGTTCCAACACTTTTAAAATACTGCCACTATATCTAGTTTAAAAGACTTTGAAAGCTTATCAAGGTAGCATTCTGCTTCGTCAAGATAAGAATTGAGAAATGCCTGATTTCTTCCTGTTCCAACACTAAACAGAAATAGCTACATGGGATATGAGTACAAATTAAGCAAATGATACATATAGACACAAAAAAATAAAAGTATGAATTTTTTAAATCTTTAAACCAGATTTCTTGTGACAGGAGCACAAAATAATTGGTGTTTTTAAATGAGTACTTTGTTTTCCATTTCAGTATCTCAAAGAAAATGACAAAGGGAATGCTAATATTTCTAAAAATATCAATTTGGGACTATTTATAAAATATAAATTTGGGGGTTATGACAATAAAAACAGACTTTAAAAGTGCACCTTTAGTCAGTGTAAAATGTAAATTAACTGCATTTATAATAAAAATTCATACCTTTTGGAACAGGGGGCAAAGGATCTTCATAAAAAATCTTTTCAACTAATTCTGAATAACTTTCTGAGAAGAATGGTGGTTTTCCTGAAATCACAAGAAAACTTGCAAAGTTAAACAATAGTTTGCTATCACCAATAATTCTAAAAAGAATCTCAACTACAGATAGTTCAGGATTACACAATTTACAGAAAAAAAAAATATATAGCAATAACCAATTATTGAACACCTAGCACATACCAGACCCACCATCTATATATTTTCATACTTCCGTAATTCAAAATTTATCATCCTAACAAATACATAAATTCACATATGGACCACCACCATGATCCAAGGGCTGCGTGGGCTACTGGACACATCTGAACAATTCAGTCACAGGTACCTTTATAAGTTTCTACTAATAATCACAGTTCTTAATAGATAGGCACATTGCAACATTCCAAATGATTATTATACCCATATAGCAAAAAGCTCCTAGGAATCTGCATATGCCTAGACATCAAGCAATTCAGCCAACATCAGTATACAGAAAAAGTTAGAAAAACCAGCTTTTTCACATCTTATAGGTAAAATATTTGCAAACTACAGATTTAACCTTTGTGTGTGCCCAGCTCTGATTTTAAGTGAACCAGGAAGTAGTCACCTGAAAACATTTCATAGAGCAGGCACCCCAAAGACCAGAGGTCACTGGTGGTGGAGAAGTCAGTACCCCTCACAATTTCTGGTGCTGCATATATAAGAGATCCTAAAAACAAAGTAGAAAGAACAACTTTGTTAGGCATTTGTATTGTTCTCAACACAAATATACCCAGAAGACACCTGGAGAGGTGAAAAAAGATGGGAAGAAAACATGCACATAAATATCACTTGTGTGAATTTACACTGTTTAATGTTTTCTAATTTTTTTTTTTAAGGAAGATTAGCCCTGAGCTAACATCTGCAGACAATCCTCCTCTTTTTGCTGAGGAAGACTAGCCCTGAGCTAACATCTGTGCCCATCTTCCTCTACTTTATATGTGGGATGCCCACCATAGCATGGCTTGCCAAGCGGTGCCATGTCCGCACCCGGGATCCGAACTGGTGAACCCCGGGCCGCCGAAACAGAACACGCGCACTTAACCGCTGAGCCACCGGGCCAGCCCCTAATGTTTTCTAATTTTAAGGTTCCATTTTATAAGGACCTATAAGAACACAAACAGATTTTGAAAATCCACTTGAGTTAGAGATGTGGTACACTTTGTATATTCTTTTTTTAATTAAAAACTTAAATAGTCAAAAGAAAAGAACCTTTGATTATAATATTTTTATTAGAATAGGTTAAGTTATATAGCAGTAACAAGCCCAAATTCTCACTGACTTAACAACAAAGGTTTATTTATTACTCAAACTACATGTCCACCAGGTCAACCGAGGGGCTTTGATCCTCACGGTCACTCAAAGACCCCGGCTAATAAAGGATCCATCTCAACACATGCTTCCCCAATCACCAAGGTAGGGGGAAGGAATGCAGCAACTTGCACACTGGCTGTGAAAACTCCCACCTCAAAGTGACTCACATCACTTCTGCTCACATTTCGTTAGCTCTGGCAGGAGAAATATACAATCCTACTACGCACCCAGAAGAACAGGGAGTATTTAGTAACAGCGCTAAAGTGTGCCACACATACCTTACACAAAGTTTAGTATTACAGAGAAATACCAAATTCTAGAGCTAGAAAGTTCCCTTACTTACTGATGAGACAAACTAAAGCCTAGCAGGTACCCTAACATCCCGTAAGTCACACAGCTGGGCATTTCCAGTCCACCCACCAAAACCCAGAGTCCTTGTCTCTTTCTACTCTACCTAAAAGCCTTCTGTCTTTCAATGAGCATGTTCTTTCCATGAAGTGAGTAATCACCAATCTCTTGGAAAATAAAATTCCACTGAGGGGGCTTGCCCGGTGACATAGTGGTTGGGCTCACATGCTCTGCTTCAGTGGCCCAGGGTTTGCCGGTTCAGATCCCAGGTACAGACTACACACCGCTCATCAAGCCATGGTGTGGCAGCAAGCCACATGCAAAACAGGGGAGGACTGGCACAGATGTTAGCTTGGGGACAATATTCCTCAAACAAAAAGAGGAAGATTGGCAACAGATGTTAGCTTAGGGACAGTCTTCCTCACCAAAAAAAAAAAATTCCACTGAGGTAAACCTTCCAGCAAATTATATCTCCAAGGCCCATTACAGCCCGATCAGCAGCCTCATGTGTCCGGACACATGGTTTTAAAGTCTTCTATGTGACATTTTTGCTATGCTATCACATTTTATGCACACATTCACTCATTCAACAAACACTTTTGAGGGCCTATTTGCCTTCAATTTGCCAGATGCTGAGAAAGCAAAGATAAGTATGACCTTCAGGATGCCCAGGCACCCTGCCCAACACTTAACAGGCGCCTCATTAACATTCGTTGAATGCGAATGTCCGTCTGTCTGCCCTGACTAGAGATGTAGTTCAGTGAGGCCAGGGATTTCTGTCTGTTTGCTCACATCCTCATTCCCAGTACCCAGAACATGCCTAAATTTTCGTTGAATTAATAAATAAAGGCACTAATGAACTAATGAATATAAAGTCCCTATCTTCACAATCAAATGGGGAAAGACAAAAAAATACTTCCACATGGTAAGTTCCATGACAGATTTACACACAGACTATCATAAAAGTAACAGAAGAACCAACGCCTAAGTGTTCAGTCCAATAAGAGCCTGTCAATCAGGGAGACAAAGGTTTCCTCAAGACAGCAGAACCTAGGAGAGAAGAGGAGAAGAGGGGGTGCATTCCAAGAACAGGGAACTGCAGGAACAAGGGCAAAGAGGCTAGCAACAGCTTGACATGCGCAGGAAACCGTAGACAGGGTATGCTGCTGGAGCATAAAGCAAGAGGCAGGGAATGGAGGAAGGAGATGAGAACTGTGTTAGTCTGCGTCCTCTGACAAGCAGACCCTAAGACAGGGTTAAGCACGGAAGGATTTCATCACAGGAAACACCTTTGAGAAAAAATGGAGTAAGCTGGTCAGACCACAACGCATGCTGGACCCCAAGAGGAGAGAGAGAAGGAAGGTGAAGTGGAAATATCCTAGACTGACATGCAGTGTAAGAAAAGGTCAGCAAGACCACAGGGCATTCCCAAACCAACATCAGCCATCAGAGTGTCTCCCAGGAGTGGGCCTGCCTTAGTATTTCAGCCATGCTCCATTGCTAGCTGGGTGCAGCCCATGAGAAGTATGTCCTCAGAGCAAAAGCAGCCATGGATTTCCTCCTTAAGCAGCTACAGGCCGTGGTCAATCATCTTCCCTACAGCTGAAGAACAGTGAGGTGCATTTTCACAACCACCACAAGAATGGAGAGGTAATCAGGGACCAGATCTGGACACTGGAACTCTAACCTGCAGGCAGGGAAGTCTAAACTTGACACTCATTTCATTCAGCCCAGTTTTCCAGCTTCTCTCAGTCAATCAACAATACTGGGCCAGAAGTGAGCCCCGCTTGACATAACCCCATCACTCCCTCCTCCACAGGGCCACTTCACTTATATAACTTTCCCGTCCCTGAAGTTTGGCACTCACGACCCAGTCCAACCCTCCAACTTCATAGAAGAGGGAATTAAGACTCTAGAAGCTACGTGGCCTCACTCTCAAGGTTACACAGAAGCAAAGGCAGGACTAGGATTCAGGCGTCCTTATGAAGACGCTCTTTGCAATTTTACCTTTATGCAGCCCAAGCAGCTTTTTTCTCTCTGCTTTTGTTCATCAGTATCTCATGAGAGCACCAATGTTAACAGATTCTTAATGGCCATACACCACTTCTAGAGACCAATCGTCAACCCACCTCAACACCCAGCCCCTTGCAGACGTCAAAAGGCAAAATGTGTATTTCCAGTGCTTTGTTCAGCGCCACGCTTAGACTGCAGGTTCTCAAAGGCTGGAGAAACAGAGTGATTTTACTTTATACTTTTATCTTCATACCACAGGGATGTAAAGGTCAGTGCCCTATGACATGGGTGATCCCTAGTGGTCGTGAATGATGGTTACAAGTGTCCTCCATCCTTGGTCTAAGAGGCTAACCCGCCCCGTCACAGGGACTGTTCTTAGATTAAGCTCAGAAGTAACAGAGCGTCCCTGCTAGAAACTCTCACCTCTCTCCACTACACAGCCCTCTCCCTCTTACTAAAGGGGAATATTTCAAACATACATTCCTGAAATATACCACCTTTCTTGTTTTCAATAAAAACATAAAACAATAATAATTCAGAACTTAACATTCTACTAACATAGTCCACAGTATTCATTTTCCTAGAAGGCCAGTCATTCTATGGAATGGTATTTGGGGATCCTAAAAGCCTTCTTCTTGGGCATGAAATTTTACCTCATACAATACTGGCCCTGAAAGTTAAACTTCATTTCATCATATTTATGGGGCTACAGTTAATCAAATGCTCCCTACCCTTTCCCTCATTCCTCTCATCCCAGGCCACATGACTACTAAGACCAAGGATGCACAGTGCCCTTCCCTCCGTGGTGAGTATACTAGAGCTTTGGTGTCCCAAAGTCTCGTGCACCTGCACAGGGAACTTGAGGAGGAGAGATCTTTACCACTTCCCTCAAAAGTTCTGGTATAAAAAATATCACTTCACACCCTCCCTCAAGTACAGCCATTCTAACACGCCAGTCCCCAGCTTACTACCAAACCACCTCCCAGAATGTACTCCTAAAAATCTTCCTTAATTGCAGAATATCAGCTACTCAACAATGTTGAACAAACATCTACTTGACCCACGAGAATGCGCCAGGCACTGATCTAAGTGCTGAGGACACAGCAGGAATCAAGACAAAACTCTCCATATGTTCTAATGAAAGGTCAGTGACAAATAAAGCTAAGGATAGGATACAGGCTTTGCTAAAGGTTTCCCAGGCCTTACACAGTATTAGATCCACGTGGAAAACTTTAGGCCCTGGACAAAACCAGCCCTACATCCAGAATTCTCCTGGTCATTATTATTTCCAATACATTATTTGACAGGGAAAATACAAGGCTGACATTATCTCTTAAACGCATGACTTGGGCAGCCCATGACCAGTTAGGATCTAGAAGCTCACCACATACCTTTGACTCTACTTTTCATGTTTTTCTTCAGTACATTTTCTCCGCTATCACCTCCTCCTTCTTCTGCTACCACCAAAGCAAAGAATTCTTCCAAATTTTCACCTTCCACTTTTGCCAAGCAAAAATTACTAAACTTCAATGTGCCAGGCCCTTCTAAGAGTATCTATAAAGGTTAAAAAATGCATTCAGAAACAAATTTAATTCAATTTTCACTTCCATCAGTACCTCTTATAATCTCACTAAAGAACTTTGAACTTTGGCTTTCTTGCTTCATCACAATTCAGAAAATTAAATGCTTACAATTTTTTTTAAAAAGCAGCTAAATAAAAATAAATCCAACATATTAATAATAATAATAGAATCAATATTAAATTGTCCATTCTCAGATGTATATCTTGAACACATCACATAACCACAGAGGGAAACCTCAGGCTTTAGAGAAAGAAAAATGTATTGCATGTGGAACAATCTATACTTGCCAATCCTCAGTGACAGCTGAAGGAGGATTTGAAAACCTACCTGCCAGAGGTGTGGTTTATTCAACAGTGGAAGTATAATGTAGGATTAAAATTGAGGTTTTGAAGTTAGAGATCCAAATTTGAACCCTAGATCTACCCCTTATGGCAGTCTGACCTGGAAAATTTAACCTTTCTAAACCTCAGTCTCTTCACCTATAAAATGGGAAAAATAACACAACTCTTCAGAATGTGGTAAGGATTAACTGAGGTTACATAGGCAAAGAGCTTTGAACAGTGATGGGCATGTGATCAGTGCTCAAGTCTGCCAATATAATTTCTGATTAGAAGTTATCTGCTGATTGTTGAAACCATGCCAGTAAGCAGTGTTCTATTACTTTTATCTTTTCCTCCTGAGTCATTAAAAATATTTCTGATAATAAAGGCCATATATGACAAACCCACAGCCAACATCATACTCAACAGACAAAAACTGAAAGCCATCCCTCTGAGAACAGGAACAAGACAAGGGTGCCCACTTTCACCACTCTTATTCAACGTAGTACTGGAGGTGTTGGCCAGAGCAATTCGGAAGGAAAAAGAAATAAAAGGAATCCAAATAGGCAACGAAGACGTAAAACTCTCACTGTTTGCAGACTACATGATCTTATATATAGAAAACCCCAAAGAATCCATAGGAAAACTATTAGAAACAATCAACAGCTACAGCAAAGTTGCAGGGTACAAAATCAACATATATAAATCAGTAGCGTTTCTATATGCTAACAATGAACTAACAGAAAAAGAACTCAAGAACTCAATCCCATTCACAATCGCAACAAAAAGAATAAAATACCTTGGGATAAATTTAACCAAGGAAGCGAAAGATCTATACAATGAAAACTACAAGACTTTCTTGAAAGAAATTGATGACGACATAACGAGATGGAAAGACATTCCATGCACATGGATTGGAAGAATTAAGATCGTTAAAATGTCCATACTTCCTAAAGCAATCTATAGATTCAATGCAATCACTATTAAAGTTCCAACAACATTTTTCACAGAAGTAGAACAAAGAATCCTAAAATTTATATGGAACAAGAAAAGACCCTGAATAGCCAAAGGATTCCTGAGAAAAAAGAACAAAGCTGGAGGTATCACACTCCCTGATTTCAAAATATACTACAAAGCCAGAGTAACCGAAACAGCATGGTACTGGTACAAAAACAGACACACAGATCAATGGAACAGAACAGAAAGCCCAGAAGTAAACCCACACATTTATGGACAGCTAATATTCGACAAGGGAGCCAAGAGCATACGATGGAGAAAGGACAGTCTCTTCAATAAATGGTGTTGGGAAAACTGGACAGCCACATGCAAAAGAATGAAAGTAGACCATTCTCTTACACCATGCACAAAAATCAACTCAAAATGGATTAAAGACTTGAATGTAAGACCCGAAACCATGAAACTTCTAGAAGAAAACATAGGCAGTACGCGCTTCGACATTGGTCTGAGCAGCATATTTTCAAGTCCCATGCCTAGGCGGGCAAGGGAAACAAAAGAAAAAATGAACAAATGGGGCTACATCAAACTAAAAAGCTTCTGCACAGCAAAGGAAACCATCAACAAAATGAAAAGACAACCTAACAATTGAGGGGAGAAGATATTTGTAGACCATGTATCAGATAAGGGGTTAATATCCAAAATATACAAAGAACTCATACAGCTCAACAACAAAAAAACCAACAATCCAATTAGAAAATGGGCAAAAGATCTGAACAGAGATTTCTCCAAAGAAGATATACGGATGGCCAACAGGCTTATGAAAAGATGCTCAACATCATTAGTTATCAGGGAAATGCAAATCAAAACTACAATGAGGTATCACCTCACTCCAGTCAGAATGGCTATAATTAACAAGACAGGAAACAACAAATGTTGGAGAGGATGTGGAGAGAAGGGAACCCTTGTTCACTGCTGGTGGGAGTGCAAACTGGCCCAGCCACTACGGAAAGCAGTATGGAGTATCCTCAGAAAATTAAGGATAGATCTACCATATGATCCAGCTATCCCACTGCTGGATATTTATCCAAAGAACTTGAAAACACAAAGGCATAAAGATACTTGCACACCTATGTTCATTGCAGCATTATACACAATAGGCAAGACATGGAAGCAACCTAGGTGCCCATGAAGGGACGAATGGATAAAGAAGATGTGGTATATACACACAATGGACTACTACTCAGCCATAAGAAATGATGAAATCTGGCCATTTGTGACAACGTGGATGGACCTTGAGTGTATTATGCTGAGTGAAATAAGTCAGGGGGAGAAAGTCAAATACCATATACTCTCACTCATAAGTAGAAGATAAAAACAACGACAAAAAAACACATAGCATTGGAGATTGGATTGGCGGTTACCATGGGGGAAGGTGGGGAGAGGGCAAAAGTGGTGATTAGGCTCACATGTGAGGGGATGGACTATAATTAGTTTTCCGTTGGGGAACATCATGTAAGGTACACAGAACTCGAAATATGATCTACATCCAAAAACAAATAAATAAATAAATAAATAAATAAAAAAGAAGAAATAACACATAAATATCTATGCACCCAACACAGGTGCACCAAAGTACATAAAGCAACTATTAATAACCCAAAAGAAGACATTAATAACAAAATAATAGTAGGGGACCTCAACACTCCACTCACATCAATGGATAGATCATCCAGACAGAAAATCAACAAGGAGACAGTGGAATTAAATGGAAAGCTAGACCAGATGGACTTAATAGACATATATAGAACACTCCATGCAAAAACAGCAGAATGCACATTCTTCTCAAGTGCACACAGAACATTGTCAAGAACAGACCATATGGTGGGAAACAAGGCAAGCCTCAATAAATTCAAGAAGATTGAAATAATAACAAGTATCTTTTCCAATCACAATGCTATAAAGCTAGAAATTAATTACAAGAAAAAGCTGAGAAAAGGACAAAGATGTGGAGACTAAACAACATGCTATTGAACAAGCAATGGATCATTGAAGAAATTAAAGGAGAAATCAAAAGATATCTGGAGACAAATGAAAATGAAAACAGGGGCTGGCCCGGTGGGGCAGCAGGTAAGTTCACACGTTCTGCATCTCGGCAGCCCGTGGTTCACCGGTTTGTATCCTCGTTGCAGACATGGCACTGCTTGGCAAAAACCATGCTGTGGTAGGTGTCGCACGTATAAAGCAGAGGAAGGTGAGCATGGATGTTAGCTCAGGGCCAGTCTTCCTCAGCAAAAAGAGGAGGATTGGCAGTAGTTAGCTCAAGGCTAATCTTCCTCAAAAAAAAAAAAAGAGAAATGAAAATGAAAACATACCCTACCAACTCATATGGGATACAGCAAAAGCCATATTAAGAGGGAAATTTATCACAATACAGGTTCATCTTAACAAACAAGAAAAAACCCAAATAAGCAATCTCAAACTACACCTAATTGAATTAGAAAAAGAAGAACAAAGCCCAAAGTCAGCAGAAAGAGAAAAATAATAAAAATCAGAGAAGAAATTAACGCTATTGAAATAAAAAAGGCAGTAGAAAGGATCAATGAAACAGCTGGTTCTTTGAGAAGATAAATAAAATTGACAAACCCCTAGCCAGACTTACAAAGAAAAAAAAGAGAGAAAAGCTCAGATAAATAAAATTAGAAATGAAAGAGGAGAAATAACAATGGATACCAGAGAAATGCAATAGATTATAAGAGAATACTACAAAAAACTATATGCCAACAAAATGGACAATCTAGAGGAAATAGATAAATTCTGAGACTCTTATAATCTCCCAAAGCTGAATCAAGAAGAAATAGAGAATCTGAATAGACCAATCACAAGCAAAGAGATTGAAACAGTAATCAAAAGCATCCCAAAGAATAAAAGCCCAGGACCAGATGGCTTCCATGGGGAATTCTACCAAACTTTCAGAGAGGATTTAATACCTACCCTTCTCAAGCTATTCCAAAAAATTAGGGAAGACGGAACGCTTCCCAACACATTCTATGAGGTCAACATCACTCTGATACCAAAGCCTGACAAGGACAACACAAAAAAGGAAAACTACAGGTCAGTATGGCTGATGAACATAATGCAGAAATCCTCAAGAAAGTATTAGCAACCCGAATACAGCAATGCATCAAAAAGATCATACATCATGATCAAGTGGGATTTATTCCAGGGACAAAGGGATGGTTCAACATCCACAAATCAATCAATGTGATACACCACATTAACAAAATGAGGAATAAAAACCACATGATCATATCAATAGATGCAGAGGAAGCATTTAACAAGATCCAACAGCCATTTATGATTTTAAAAACTCAACAAAATGGGGATAGAGGGAAATTACCTCAACATAATAAAGGCCATAGATGATAAACCCACAGCCAACATCATACTAAATGGGGAAAAACTGAACGCCATCCCTCTGAGAACAGGAACAACACAAGGATGCCCACTATCACCACTCTTTCTCAACATAGTACTCAAGGTTTTGGCCAGAGCAATTACGCAAGAGAAAGGAATAAAAGGAATCCAAACGGGGAGTGAAGAAGTGAAACTCTCACTGTTTGCAGACGACATGATCTTACACATAGAAAACTCTAAAGAATCCATTGGAAAACTATTAGAAATAACTAACAACTACAGTCAAGTTGCGGGGTGCAAAATCAACTTACAAAAATCAGTTGCATTTCTGTATTCTAATAACGAACTTACAGAAAGAACTCAAGAATACAACTCCATTTACAATCGCAAAAAAAAAAGTACCTAGGAACAAATTTAATTAAGGAGGCAAAGGACTTATACAATGAAAACTATAGGACATTACTGAAAGAAATAAATAATGACATAAAGAGATGGAAAGAGATTCCATGCACATGGATTGGAAGAATAAACATAGTTAAAATGTCCATACTACCCAAAGCAATCTACAGATTCAACGCAATCCCAATCAGAATCCCATTGACACTCTTCACAGAAATAGAGCAAAGAATCCTAAAATTCATATGGGGCAACCAAAGGCCCCGAATTGCTAAAGCAATACTGAGAAAAAAGAACAAAGCTGGAAGTATCACAATCCCTGACTTCAAAATGTACTACAAAGCCATAGTGATCAAAACAGCATGGTACTGGTACAAAAACAGGCACACAGATCAATGGAACAGAACAGAAAGCCCAGAAATAAAACCACACATATACAGAAAGCTAATCTTTGACAAAGGTGGCAATAACATACAATGGAGAAAAGAGAGTCTCTTCAATAAATGGTGTTGGGAAAACTGGACAGCCACATGCAAAAGAATGAAAGTAGACCATTATCTTTCGCCATACACAAAAATAAACTCAAAATGGATCAAAGACTTGAAGATAAGTCCTGAAACCATAAAACTCCTGGAAGATAATATAGGGAGTACACTCTTTGGCATCAAACTTAAAAAGATTTTTTCGAATACCATGCCTTCTCAGACAAGGGAAACAAAAGAAAAAGTAAACAAGTGGGAGTCCATCAGACTAAAGAGCTTCTGCAAGGAACAAGAAACTAGGATCAAAACCAAAAGACAACCCATCAATTGAGAGAAAATCTTTGCAAATCATATATCCGATAAGGGGTTAATCTCCATAATATATAACGAACTCACACAACTGAACAACAAAAAAACAAACAACCCGATCAAAACATGGGAAGAGGTACGAACAGACATTTCCTCAAAGAAGATATACAGATGGCCAATAAACACATGAAAAGGTGTTCAACATCAGTAATCATCAGGGAAATGCAAATCAAAACTACACTAAGATACCAGCTTATGCCTGTTAAAATGGCTATAATCACTAAAAGTAAAAACAGCAAATGTTGGAGAGGGTGTGGAGAGAAGCGAACCCTCATACACTGCTGGTGGGAATGCAAACTAGTGCAGCCACTATGGAAAACAGTATGGAGATTCCTCAAAAAACTAAAAATAGAACTACCATATAACCCAGCTGTCCTACTACTGAGTATCTATCCAAACAACTCGAAATCAACAATCCAAAGTAATATATGCACCCCATGTTTATCGCAGCACTATTCACAATGGCCAAGACATGGAAACTATCCAAATGCCCACTGACCGATGATTGGATAAAGATGTGGTGTATATATACATATATATATATACATACACACACACACGCAATGGAATACTACTCAGTCATTAAAAAAAAGACAAATTTATCCCATTTGCAACCACATGGAAAAACCTGGAGAGAATTATACTTAGAGAAATAAGCCAGACTGAGAAGGACAAACACCAGATGATTTCACTCATATGTGGAATACAAACAAGCAAATGGACAAAGAAAATAGTTAGTGGTTACCAGGGGAAGGGGGCTGGTGGGGTGGGGCACAGGGGGTGAAGGGGAGCACCTATGTGGTGACAGACAAAAAATAATGTACAACTGAAATTTCACAATGATGTAAACCATTATGAACTCAAATAAAAGAAATTAATTTTTTTTTAATACTTAATTTACAGAAACGGGCATCCTGCCCGAACACTGCCATCCCCAGTTCTAGGATAAAGGTTACATTACAGATGAGCCTGAATTTCCTAGATTATAAATAGTGATACTAGATCTCATTAAACAACTCCCACACAGGCTAGCACACTAAAGCCTCTGGGCAAAATTCCAGCCACTACCTGTTTTTGTACGGGTGAAAGCTAAGCATGGTTTTTACATTTCTAAATGGTTGAAAAAAACAAAAATAAGATGATATTTCTTGATATGTGAAAATTTGACATTTCAGTGTCCACAAATAAATTTTTATTGAAATAAAGCCACACTCATGCATTTACATACCGTCTATAGCTGCTTTCAGGGCTATGACCACAGTTAAGTGGTTGGAGATTTGAGGCAAGTATACAAATATTGCAAACAAGAACTTCTATCCATTATATAGAGTTTTTATGGAATTATTTTAGGTTTAATTATGTTCTCAGATGGCCTACAATAATGTTGAACTAAGGAAATATTCAACTTTTCATTTCATTGTGCACACATTTACAAAGGAAAAGAAATAGCAATTCAGACTAGTAATAAGTACAATCTCTACGAATATTTACTTATAAAGATATAATAGACACCGCTGATAGACAGCACACTACCTAGAAGCTTAACCTAAATAGAGAACATAATCTTCACAATCACCCTGAAATATCTATCTCCATATCACAGACAAGCAAAGTAGGGTGCAGAGAGAAAGGTTAACTTGCCCAGGGTCACAAAGCTTCTAAATGTCAGCGTCAACTGTGACTCAGAAACTAAGCAGGTTTCACGACTCTACCACACTGAAGCACATTTAGTTATGTGTCATTAGTTTTACCAAAAATGAAGACATTTGATCCATAATATCAGGAATCATACATACAGTCAAGAACGTAATTAGCAAACTAAAATAATGGCTCATAATGGTGTACTATAATTTAAGAGCCTAGTCTTAATTTATAGATCTACTGAGCTCACCATTCACAATGTACCTCAGCAGGAATAATAATTACTCAAAGAACTCTGAAAGGAGGGAGACTTCACATTCTAAAAGCTACTTCAACAGGTAGCTAAAAAGGTAGCTAAAATATGTACTATGTTTTTTATTTTAAAAATGTTAACAAAATATCAAGATGTTCTATGTCAAAATTTTATCTAAAAATAAATAACCTTTGAGAAAGAACCACAAATTAAGACATAAGCACTTAGGAAATCAAAAGTTTCATGAATTACCTTTCCAGGAGAAATGTCACAAAAGAGAATGCCAAGTTGATGAAGATGATGTAATCCAGTAATCAGGTCAATCCCAAATTCTCTCACAACATCTTCGGGAAGGTTTTCATCCTGAGCAATAACCATTTCTAAGGAACCACCTGCAAGTTGTTTAAAATCATCCGTTTTAACCCACCAACATCACACAATGCCTCCAAGAGGTTCCATGCTGGGAGATATTGAGCATTAAAAAATGATCAAATCAGTATACCCGGACAATCTGGCAGGGGAAACACAGGTGTGAATGAACACAGTGGTCCAAGCAGCCTAACAGAAATCTGTGTCCACTCTTTGGAGCCAGCTCCAGGAGAACAACTGCTTGGTCTGGAAAAATGGTCACCAAGCAAGCAGGTGGAGTGAAGGGAGAATAACTCTGCTGCTGTGATGGCTCACTCCAGATTCCTCTGGAATTGAACAGCTGCAAAAATTAGTGATAAATACTAACGCAAACTGTGCACTTAAATCACATGATGCAAAATATAGTCACATTTACTCCTGTGCAAAGTTAGGTCACATTCTGCAAGTACTGCACAGCAAAAAAGATGACGCCTTTCCTTAACAGGTAGAGAATCACAATCCTTAGTGTATACTCTGATGAAATAAAAGGCCAAGGGCAGACACACTGTGATTTCCATCTCTATACCCTTCCAAGTTCCCAGTCACATCACTACCACCTAAGTACCAGAAACATTTTTTTTAAGAGGGTCAAGATAAGAACAGAAGCTAAGTTCAGAGAAAGTGAAGTCTTAGCTGGCATCTGAAAGTTCAGTCAGGAATACTGTGATGAGAGTAGGAAGTATCTGGCATTTTACTTTGTTTTGGTGAATGAGGAACCACCCGAGACATAGGCATAAATAAGAATTAGGCTATGACAATGGTCAGGGGTCAGAAATAACAGCTGAAGTAAAAAGAAATACAGGGAAAGTCCCATGATCACCTCAACAGTGTGTACATCGATGGGCATAATTAAACCACAGTACCCTCCTATTGATTCAGAAAAACAAAATGCAAATCAGTTATTATTAGCCAGCACTGGTGGTCTAGTGGTTGAGATTTGGCGCTCTTACCACAGTGGCCCAGGCTGGTTTCCCAGTCAGGGAACCACACCACCCACCTGTCAGTTGTCATACTGTGGTGTCTGTGTGCTGCCGTGATGCTGAAAGCTATGCCACTGGTACTTCAAATACCAGCAGGGTCACCCATGGTGGACAGGCCTCAGCAGAGCTTCCAAACTAAAACAGACTAGGAAGAAGGACTTGGCCACCCACTTCTGAAAAAACTGGCCATGAAAACCCTATGAATAGTAGTGGAGCATTGTCTGACATAGCACGGGAAGGTGAGAGGATGGCGCAAAAAGACTGGGCAGGGTTCTGCTCTGCTGTACACCGGGTCGCTAGGAGTTGGAATCAACTCAATGGCACTAACAACAAAAGTTATTCCAAATAACTTCTTTAAATGATCTTTAGGTTTTATAAATTCTAAGTGTCAATATAGTAGGTAAGATTCATAAGGCTAGAATTACAATGTATCTTAATATTTAATAATCTCTTACACAATCCTAGAAAGGTGTATCAAAGAGCTGTAACATGTAATCTCTAATTATTCCTAGGTGGTGGTATTTGTTGGTTCATCTTTGTGCTTCTCCGCATTGCTTAAGTTTTTATTAAGAGCATTTTTTTTTTTTTTTTAAAGATTGGCACCTGGGCTAACAACTGTTGCCAATCTTTTTTTTTTTTTCTGCCTTATCTCCCCCAACCCCCCCTGTACATAGCTGTATATCTTAGTTGCAGGTCCTTCTAGTTGTGGGATGTGGGACACTGCCTCAACGTGGCCTGACGAGCGGTGCCATGTCCGCGCCCAGGATCCGAACCCTCGGCCGCCGCAGCGGAGCATGCAAACTTAACCACTCGGCCACGGAGCCGGCCCCAAGAGCAAGTATTTTTTTTTTTTACAAAAATAAAAAGATGATCACTTTATAAACTAATAAAGCTATAGCTAGTTGACCTAAAATACTTTGAGGTTTTGGGGGGGGAGGTTTTTGGAGAGGAAGATTGTCACTGAGCTAACATCTGTGCCAATCTTCCCCTATTTTGTATGTGGGATGCCACCACAGCATGGCTTGATGAGCACCGTGTAGGTCCATGCCTGGGATCCAAACCCACAAATGCCAGGCCACTGAAGTGGAGCACATGACTTAACCACTTTGTTTTTATTGAATGGGAAAACTTGTTTGACAAATGAATCACTAAAGAATATTTCTAAATTTTTATGGAGGTGACTTAGTAATATTTTATACCAAAGTAAAGTTAACTCCAAATCGAATTTTACACTGTCTTCCTCTTACCAAACATCTTTGCTCTTTATCCTTTCCTCAAATCCATCAAACAACAGAAATTCAAGTTAACACAGTCAATAGTATCAACGCTGCTTATATTTGCAATAGAAGAAAAAAGGAAAATAACAAAACCTACACCACAGGTTTTTTCAAAACTACCAAAGATGGCCATTCGTAGCACTTACAAGCTCTTACCTGTGCAGAGTTCCACTACTAGCCAGAGATGATTGCTGGTTTCGTACCATTCATGAAAAGTTACAATATTCTTGTGTTTAATTTCATGGGTGAGACGGACCTATAAAAACACACACAGCAGTCACACTGAAAAAAAAAGTTCTTAAAACCCCTGCCTCTATTAAGAAATCCCTAAATACACAATTGAGAAATGCATAAAAAAATAGTGGAATTTATTTGGTGGAATTCTATACAGACATTAAAATGATGGTTATGAAGGCTGGTGACATGGAAAAATGCTAATTTAATGTACCAAAAAACCTTGTGTAATACAGTTTTGCATATTTGTGTAAATACAACATTGCAAAAGAAATATTCATAGGAAAATGACCAGAAGGTATACATCAAAATAGCTGCTGTTATGAGTAGAATTACTGGTGTTATTCAATTCTTTCCACTCTTTTTCTCTTTTCTATTTAAGTACACACTACTTTTATAATCAAGAAAAAAGAAGTAAAAAAAAAACCTTTACTGAGTAAAAATAACCTAAATGCTCAATAATACCCTAACAGTTAAATAAGTTGTATATCAACTGACAAAATATTAGGCCAATGTTAAAATGTTTATTTTTAAAGTAGACCATTATTTTTCACCATACACAAAAATTAACTCAAAATGGATCAATGACTTGAAAATAAGACCTGAAACTATAAAACTCCTAGAAGAAAACATAGGCAGTATACTTTTTTTTTTTAAAGATTTTTTTTTCCTTTTTCTCCCCAAAGCTCCCCAGTACACAGTTGTATATTCTTCGTTGTGGGTCCTTCTAGTTGTGGCATGTGGGACGCTGCCTCAACGTGGTTTGATGAGCAGTGCCATGTCCGAGCCCAGGATTCAAACTAACGAAACACTGGGCCGCCTGCAGCAAAGTGTGCAAACTTAACTGCTGGGCCATGGGGCCAGCCCCGGCAGTACACTTTTTAACTTCAGTTTTAGAAGGATCTTTTCAAATACCATGTCTACTCGGACAAGGGAAACAAAAGGAAAAAAACAAGTGAGACTTCATTGACTAAAGAGCTTCTGCAAGGCAAAGGAAACCAGGAACAAAACGAAAAGACAACCCACCAACTGGGAGAAAATATTTGCAAATCATATATCTAATGTGGGGACCTGGAATTGGCCACCCCAAGATATGTCTCTTTGGCATCAGGATTATTTGAGGCTGATTGCTTTTGATAAACTGGGACAGGGAAGGAGGCTCTGAGGAATGGAACTTGCCCTTTGTTAGGACACGTTTACATTTGTAAGGTAAATCTCTATCTGTAAAAGGTGCCTCCCTCTCTGTACCAGGAAGAAGAAAGGCGATGACCTACTCTCTAAAAACTCTTAATCAATACCAAAGGCAAAGACTTAAAATCTGCATTTTATTGTGCTAGTCTGGTAACCTCCTGTAACTGACTTCCCTCCCCCTCCCATCTTTCTTTAGGCTGGGAACCGATTGCGGTGCTCATCTGTGACCCCCCCCCCCAGCCCGAGGCAACACACCTGCCACCCTGCAGCGCTCACTGAGACAGCAGACCTATCCGCCGTTTCCATCAAGCGCTGTGCTGACAGAGCAGCCTCGTGACTATTGTAAAAGGGACATTTCAGTCACATGTGAAACACCCCGTTTGGGGGCTATATAACCACTATGTGCACCCCACTTCTTCGGTGCCCTTTCTTCCTTCGGGAAGAAAGGCCCCGGGCCATGGTTCCTCATAAAGCTTTGTTTAATTTTCTCTTGCTATTCTGTCTCATGTGAATTTAATTCATTCTCCAGCTAGACGAACCCCCATTTGGGGAGAGGAAATGTCCTCCTCCCCTACACTAACAAGGAGTTCTTCTCCAAAATATATAAAGAACTCACACAACTGAACAACAAAAAAACAAACAACCCAATCAAAACATGGGTAGAGGATATGAACAGACATTTTTCCAAAGAAGACATATAGATGGTCAATAAGCACATGAAAAGATGCTCGACATCACTAATCATCAAGGAAATGCAAATCAAAACTACAGTGAGGTATCACCTTACACCCGTTAGAATGACTATAATCACCAAGACAAAAAGTAACAAATGTTGGAGAGCTTGTAGAGAAAAGGGAACCCTCATACACTGCTGGTGGGAATGCAAACTGGTGCAGCCACTGCGGAAAACAGTATGGAGATTTCTCAAAAAATTAAAAATAGAAATACCATATGACCCAGCTACCCCACTACTGTCTATTTATCCAAAGAACTTGAAATCAACAATACAAAGAGATTTATGCACCCCTATGTTCCCTGCAGCATCACTCATAATAGGTAAGACATGGACGCAACCCAAGCACCCAATAACTGATGAATGGATAAAGAAGATGTAGTATATATATCTACCATGGAATGCTACTCAGCCATAAAAAAAAGATAGTCCCATTCGCAACAACATGGATGGACCTTGAGGGTATTATGTTAAGCGAAATAAGCCAGACAGAAAAAGACAAACACTGTTGGATTTCACTCATCTGCAGAAGATAAACTAACCATGGACAAAGAAAACAGTTCAGTGGTTACCAAAGGGGAAGGAGGATAGGGAGTACGAATAAGGGGTAAAGGGGCACATTTATATGGTGACTGACAAATAGTAATGTACAACTGAAATTTCACAAAGTTATAAACTATTATGACCTCAATACAAGAAAATAAAAAATGTTTACTTTTATAACAACATGGAAAAATTACAGTGTTATAATGTTAAGTGTAAAAGGTAAGAGACAAAATTATATAATATCATGATTAGAAAATTAAAAAAAAAAAAGATCTCACAGAAAAAAAGACTAGAAAACAAACCAAACCAAAACAGTGATTGTCTTCAGGTGATAGAACAATGCTACTGCTTTTTTTCTTCTCTCCATTTTTCTATATTGTCCAAATTTTCTCTAATGATGATGTAGTGCTTTCACAATATTTAAAAGAACTCTCAAAGGATTCTACGATATTCTTTTTAAAAATATTCTTAGTGAATCCCAATATCAATTTGCCCAGATTATTAAAAGAGGAAACATTACAATGAACACACTGATCTTAAAATGTACATTTCCATTAGATCATAAGACTACTTATGCACCAAAAACAAAAGAGTGAATTCAAAACTCAATAATAAAGAGGCAAAAGCCTGAAAACCACAAAAGTGTGTGATTAACAAACCATCAATCCCAGAATTGCTGAACTACCAAAATGCTTTGGGTCCTTGTTTGCCAATTAAAAAAAATCACATACAAATTCTACTGTCACTCAACACAGGCTAACAGGCCCACAATTTGCACAAATATAGAGCTCCCTATTTTAAAAAGGGAATATGGTACACTCTGGGAACAACTAGATGGGCTCAGAGTGTAACACAAATAATGGAAAATGAATCCATATAACTTAGAAGACAGACGAGGAGAAAGCCAAAAATCAGAGTGACCAAGAGAGCATTTGAGGAGCATCTTGTAATAAATTCCCACTAATAAGGCCACTAGAGAATGGGGAGGACACTTGGTGAGCATGTTTAAATGGATACCCACTGATTCAGGCACAGGAAGGGGAGGTCCTGGTGAAAAAACAAAGGAGGTAGGGAAATTTCAACAGAATTCAGCCCACAGCACACCCTCCCAACACTCTCCATCATTTCATATGCCAAGTGGCTGCTCTTCCAGACCCTGGGCCCCTCAGCTCTCTCAACCTCGCTCTCCACCCTCATCTCAACCACCCGTCTCTGACCTGTGCCATCTGATACAGGAGCCAGTCACCGTAGAGGGCTTCTGTGCACTTGAAAAGAGCTAGTCTGACCTGAAATGAGCTCTAAGTGTACAATACACACCAGAAGCTGAACACTTAATATCAAAAAAATACATATATCTCTTTAATAATTTTATACTGATTGTATGTTAAAATGATAATACATTGTATATATTGGATTAAATAAAATCTATTAATAAAATTAATTTCACCTATTTATTTTCCCTTTCTCAGTGTGACTACTCTGAACTTTAAAATTAGATTTGCAGCCTACATTATATTTCTATTGGACAGCATTGTTGGATTTTTACCAATAACTGTATTATCTCCAAAATCTCTTTCACACACCCTAGTCCATGACCACTATTCACTCACTTTCCAGCTCACCCATTCTAGTACTGCAATTCTGGTTAAGTTCAACCCTGCACACATTCTGCATATAACCAAGTAGCTGAAGCAGACAGAAACCACGCTGACTGACCCACCTTCAATTTATGATCCCCAATCCCAAAGAGCCCCAGCCAGTCTGTCCTCCAGTGACTATTCACACCTCCTCGTTCTCAAAACACTGCCTTCCCCTCCTCCCATCTCCAAACTGATGACTTAGCTCCTCATCTCAAAGAAACCTAATCAGAAGAGAAACTCCTTGATTTCCCAGCACTGAATCTGCACCTTACCCCACAAGCCTGTCTTCCCTCAACTGTGCACACTCCTTTCAAAAGCCAACATCTCCCCACACCCATTAAAATGGCTATTAAAAAAAAAAAAAACAGAAAATAAGTGTTGGCAAGGATGTCGAGAAATGGGATCCCTTGCACACTGTTGGTGGGAATGTAAAATGGTACAGTTTTTGTGGAAAACAGTATGACAGTCCTCAAAAAATTAAACAGAATTACCAAAGGATCCAGCAATTCCACTTTGGGGATATACCTAAAGGATTGAAAGCAGAGTCTCAAAGAAATATTTGTACACCAATGTTCATAACAGCATTATTCACAATAGACAAAAGGCAGAAGCAACCCAAGTGTCCACAGACAGGTGAATGGATAAGCAAAATGTCCTTGTACATACAATGGAATATTACTCAGTGTTAAAAAGGAAAGAAATTCTGACACAATGTTACAACATGGATGAACCTTAAGACATCATGCTAAGTGAAATAAGTAAGTCAAAAAAGGACAAATTCTATATGATTCCACTTATATGAGGGACCTTTGAGAGACAGAAAGTAGAATGGTACATGCCAGGGGCTGGAGGAGGAAGCAACAGGGAATTATCATTTAAGGTGTATAGAGTTTCAGTTTCACAAAATGAAAAGAGTTCCAGAAGATTCAGCAATCGCACTCTTGGTATCCACCCAAAAGAGTTGAAAACTTATATTCACATAAAAACCTGCACATAGATATTTATAGCAGCTTTATTCATAACTGAAAGCAATCAAGATGCTCTTCTATAAGTGGACGAATGAACAAACTGGAACAATACATGCAATGGAATATTGTTCAGCGATAAAAAGAAATGAGCCATTAACCCACAAATAGACACAGAGGAACCTTAAATGCATATTGCTAAGTGAAAGAAACCAATCTGAAAAGGCTACATACTATACGATTTCAACTATATGACATTCTGGAAAAGGCAAAATTATGGAGATAATAAAAAGATCAGTGGTTGCCACAGGTAGGGGCAAAGGGAGAAGGATGAATAAGTGGAGCATGGAAGATGTTTTAGGGCAATGAAACGACTCTGTATGGTACTATAATGGTGGACACACGTCATTACACATTTGTCCAAACCCATGGAATGTACAACACCATAAATGAGCCTTAATGTAAACTATAGACTTTGGGCAATCAGGGTGTGTTCATTAAATATAACATATGTACCAATCTGATAGGGATGTTGATAATGGGGGAGGCTATGCATGTGTGGGGGCAGGAGGTATATGGGAAATATCTGTATCTTCCTCTTAATTTTGCTGTGAATCCAAAACTGCTCTAAGAAACCCTTTTTTTAAAAGAAGTTCTGGAGATGGTGATACTTGCACAGTAAAATGAATGTACTTAATTTCACTGAACTGTACACTTAAAAACGGTTATGATGGTAAATTTTATGTGTATTTTACCACAATAAAAAAAAATGTTGAAAGGAAAAAGAAGCTAGGTTTGGCCCAGGGAGCCTGGGCTATAAAGTGGCACAGCTATTTCAAACCCAAGTCTTTCTCACTCAAAGTCTTTCCTTCAGAAAGCATCATAATCACATACTAAATTTAAAAGTAGATGATCTAACATAGACTACATTTTCCCTGACTCTTACAAAAAAAATTCTAAGTTGCTGATTACTTGGGTATGTTTATTAGTCTTTATACAGAATTGCTGTCACTCTACAGACAGACAGTGGCTCAATCCAGATTGAAAATGGGGCCTTTGCTATAGTGAGTTCAATGACTTCTGTTTACATGCTGCTTACTCTACCTGATCACAGTCCTGTCTTTTGCCAGAGGGAGGGAAACAGACTTGACTTACCCAATTGGTTATTTCAGGTCTTTTGCACTTATCAGTACAAAGAATAGCTACAAAATTGATCGTCCCCTTTCGTCGCCCTTTATAGACAACGGTCTTGCTTCCTCTGCCAATCTCCTCATACAGAATGAAGTTTTCCATCTCTGGGCTGACTTCTCACACTCGATAAAATGACAACATAATAGCATCTCTAGCTCCTAAAAAGTAAACAAAAATGACACTTAGAAATACAAGCTGATTGCATGATTAATTAGCCTAGGGTAGATATATGTAAATAAGTCTAATAATTCTATAAACTCAGAAAATTCACCTTAAAGTTTTGGACACTAGTGTCTTTCTTTTTATAAGGTAAAAAAAGCTAAGGGAAAAATAAATAAAACAATTTACAAGCCAATATTCAACTTCCTATCCACAAGATCTTAACAAAAATAATGAAAATGACAGCTATTTCTAACATATGTAACAAAATCAGGGAATGAATGAGATTTCAGCCAATGATACCTTTCCTATTTTCTCGTTACAGTGGAAAGCACATTGTGTCAACATCTGTATAATGATTGGGGCAATATACACCCCACCTAAACCTCAAATTATGAGAAGCAAATGAGACAACATGTAAACATACTTTACAAACAAATATGGACTAACAGTGTTTCCAAAGAGATTGCAAGAGTCAATCCAAATATTATCTGAAGTCAGGGGTCAGCAAATTACTAATTCCTGGGCCAAATCTGGCCTGCTGCCTGTTTTTGTAAATAAAGCTTAACTGGAAAATGGCCACACCCATTCATTTATCTATTGTCTAAGGCTGCTTTCAGGCTACAATGGCAGAGTTGAGTAGTCCTGACAGAGACCCTATGTCCCGCACACACTCTAAAATATTTACTATTTCACCCTTTACAGAAAAAGTTTGTCAACTCTTGTTTTAAATGAAGATTTTTTTAACCAATCACTTCATCATCTAGGATATAAGCAGTTAAAAGAGTTCATTTTCTTAGTCAACAAAGTCCTCTAATTTTCACAAGTAAATAAAGATCTGATGTGGTCTTTTATGAGACTAGATTTTATGCGGAATTGAAGTAAAATAGTGGATTCAGGATCTTAACATATTCCCAGCAACATAATCAAAGTATTCACTGGACTAAAAATAGCTTTTCAATTGGCATCTCTTTGGGAGGATTATACATGCTAGACGATAGAAAACTTCCCAGAAACTATCCAAGCAGTAAGATATCCACTTTAAAAAAAGCTTACGTTTCTATATGCTATCCAGTAAGTCAGAACCTACAGTAAAATTATTCTGAAATAGAGAAGGTAAAAGAGCAGTAAGTTAACGGGTACGAGGTTTCTCTGTGTGCAGATGAAAACGTCCTGACATTGGATAGTGCTGATGGTTGTATACCTTTGTGAATACAATAAAAATCCTTGAATTCTACATTTTAAAGGGGTGAATTTCATAGTATGTGAATTCTATCTCAATGTTTATTGAGATATAATTGACATGTAACACTGTGCAAGTTTAAGGTGTACAATGTGTCAATTTGATACATTTATACATTGTAATATGATGTATAAATGTACAATATTAATTACAATATTAATGTGTAATATGTAACCACAGCACTAGTTAACTCCTCTATCACATCAAATAATTATTTCTTTTTTGTGGTGAAAACATTTAAGATCTATATCTTAGCAACTTTGAAGTATATGATACATTACTGCTGACTATAATCACTGTGATGTACATTAGATCTTCAGAACTCATTCATCTTTGGTGGAGGCCATACAAAAACAGGCAGAGCCAGATTCGGCTGATCGGCAGTAGTTTGCTGACCTCCGACCTGGTATAAGGAACAAGTTATCTAAGAATCTAGGAATAATTCTAATTCTATGATTCCATCTTCCAATGAAATCAAAACATACTGCAAAATGGGAAAATTCTACTATAAAAATTTATAGGCTAGTAATTACATTTAGTTATTTGGATTATAAACCCAGTTATCTAGAGCAAATCAGAAGAAATCAGACTACTGACAGTGAAATTTTTTAAATTCTAAGTGGAAAAGATGTGGGAGAATTTTGACTTTGAATCAATGGAAACACAAAAAATGCACAGACAGTATCTATTTCTTTCGATCAGTTTTACCAAGTTCCTTCTACATCCCTCTCCTCCCTAAAACCCAGTCATTAAAAAAGAACCGGTTCTGACTCCCAACTCACCAAACTGCAGCCTTAACAGGAGAAACTGTGTGGCAAGGGGTCAACAAAATATAACATGTAACATAACCAAAATAAGATTAAATTAACCATATGTTAACATGGACAAGCTATTAAGCCAGAAAAAAAATAACGAGACCCTAATTAAATGTTCACAAATTGGCTAGATTACAATATATCAGGATAAGATGTTGAAGAAAGTTTTCATGTAAGAGGAATATGATTCCGTGAAAACAAAGTTTTAGACCACAGGAAAAAAAATTAAGTAAAATCTTAAAATTTTCGATTTGATTCAGCCCAGATTAGTTCCTCAGTCTTTTACTGAGTAGAGGCATCTGAGTAGACTAGCAGGTTGAAATTAACAAAATGCACCAATTATAAAGTCTGCTTAGATAAGATGGTTTATTACTTTCAGCACTTCCCCACTCTGGGGCTCAGATTCTGTGGAGTAAAATAAGAATTGGATCAGATGATCTTCTAAGTTATTTTTCAAGTTTGAAATTCCATGACTTTAAGATCCTTTTTGATTCACTCCAAGGATGTTCCTCACCTTAGACTTCCCAACATGTTTTTAAAAACCTGTAACCTCTTAAATTGTAAAATAAAACACAAATACAGAAAACCCACAAAATAAATGTATAGTTTAATGAGCGTGAGCATGCATCCGGAGGGCAAATTAAAACACAGATTGCTGGGCAATCATAGTTTAATGAATTATTATAAGAGGGATGCCCTTGTAATCACCACCCAGATCAAGAATAGCTCTTTGCCAGCCACCCCATAAGCCCCTCCATGAGCCTACCCCGCTCACAACTCCTCCTACTCCCCAAAAGTAATCACTCACTGACCTTCATAGTTACCACTTCCACGCGTTTCTTTATAGTTTTCCCACCCATGTGTGCATTCCCAGACACCACAATTCAGTCTTCCACATTTTCTAAAAGTGTGATGCATCTTTTAAGGCTCTTCTAATCTACAAGTTCACCTAGGTATTATCTGAGAAGCCAGAAGTCAGAGCAAATCACAAAGGAGTAAATAAGGCTTTTAAGATCCAGGATGCAGGGCATTCATTCGACAAACTCTGAAACAGACCAGGTGACAGGGGCACGCTGGTAAAGATCAGAACCCTCCCCTCAATCATCCCAACCTTCAGATCATTAACTGCCGCACTAACAGCATGGGCAAGACCTGCGAACTTGATAGAAATGCAAATTCTTGACCCCCAGCCCAGACCTATTGAGTCAGAAACTCTGAAAGTGGGGCCAGAATCTGTGCTTTAACTCACCCTCCGGATACACTCTCACCTTCAGAACCACAGGGTGGCAGGCGCTATAACAAGCACTGAACAGGTGCTCTTCCTCGCAGCACTTTAAAAACCAAACTGCAGGCTTTAAGCTTGCTCTGACCTCGAAAGTGCACTCTGAGAAGCTAGGTAAACACTCACCCCCCCGCCCCCATCCCTATCACCCACTCCCCACTCCAAGCGGCTCGAAGCCAGCGAACTGGCGGTTTTCACTACCTCCTTGGGGCCACGGACATCAGTCTGCGAGGCTGTCTTACAACGTGAGAAGCGCCGCCGCAGTTTTAAGAGAGAAAACTCTGAATTTGGGGTTTGCATAAAGCATATCTCCTGAACCCTAGAGCCTCGAATCCCCCCTGCACCCAGGCCCTAGAAGAGGTGTCTCGTGGGCCCTGAACTGAAGGCCGCAGAAAGTTGTGTGAGGTTTTTAGTTCAACACCAGCACAAAGCAGAGCCGGAAGAGAGGGGCGGACGGAGAGAGGGCGCGGGGGGCACAGGACGGTGGGAGGGTGGGTAGGTCGCGTCCCTCCAGGCCTGCAGTCTCTCTCGCGCCCGCTGAGGGAGACACAAACTCAGATTCGTGACCCGTAAAACTGCCAGTGCCCCTCACCTGGTCGCCCCGTGGGAAGAAGCCGCCGATCCACTGGACGGCTCCCGCGAGTGCGCGCGTCTCGGCCCCCACCCTCAGGACGGGTCCACTGGCCAAAGGCCAGGGGCGAAGCAATGGAGCAAGACCGGACGCGCAGAAGCAGCGACAGGCCGTGCAGCTCCAGCGCCCCTCCGCGTTTGGACTCGCCCACCCCGTCTCCAGGGCAGCACGCAGAACGCCGGAAGGAGCGCAGGCCGCTGACTGGCTGAGGAGTTTCGGTTCCTATTGGCTGGGGCCTGAAAGTGAGGCCGCTAGGACACCACCCTCAACCCAAACGGCCTCGCCCGAGCCTCAGGACCGGTCCACCGACCCTGGACCGGGGCAGGATGTGCTGGAGCGAGGCAAGATCCATCGCGTCAGCGTCGGGCCTGGCGAGTTCAGCGCCCCTCCGCGTTTGGATTCGCCCAGCCCGTCTCCAGGGCAGCACGCAGAACGCCGGAAGGAGCGCAGGCCGCTGACTGGCTGAGCAGTTTCGGTTCCTATTGGCTGGGGCCCGGAAGTAGGCCGTGACGGAGCGTTCGTCCGCTCTATCTGGGCGTGGGAACTCGGATGTCAGGCGGTAGGAGGGGTTCCGTTTGGGGTGTTGCTGCATGCGTTAGGGCTGTGCAGTACTGGCCCTCGTCATTTTTTCCCGCTCCCATCGTTTTCTTCTATCCTTTTTGTTTCTGACGCCCTCCGGAGCTCAGATGGACGTGGCGATAGTCTGGATAACTAATGGCTCAGAAGCCGGCTCCTCGAGTTCCTCACCCTTTGGAAAAGAGAAGGCTATGGATTTCTTTCTTGTACGTGAGAAAACAGAACAGATCTTCCGATCTCCAGCAGATTGTTCATGACTTTCAAAGCTCCGAGCCCTCCAATTCCAACCACCAGTCGCGTTAGCACCAGCTCCCCCTTCTTCCTTCCGTTCAAGTTGGTGCAGTGATTCTTAAACTTTAGCGTCAGAGTCACCTGGAGCGCTTGTTAAAACACATCTCTGGGCCCCACCTACGGAACTACTGATTCTGTAGATCTGGATGAAGCCCAGAATTTTCCCTTTCTGTCAAGTTGCAGGTGATGCAGATGTTGCTAATCAGGAACTATGCTTTGCAAATGTGTGTAGAGGAACTGTGCCTCTCTCTGATCTCAGGTGAATCACACCTATTCTTTGCCGTCTAACCTTCCTACCTTCTCAGGAATCTTACATTATCCATTATTGTCAGTTTTGTGTATTTAACAGCTTTGCTGTGGAAAAAACTTTCCTCATAAGATGGGCATGGATGTTAGCTCAGGGCCAGTCTTCCTCAGCAAAAAGTGGAGGGTTGGCAGCAGATGTTAGCTCAGGGCTGATCTTCCTCAAAAAAAATGTTGCCTCATAGGTAACACCCTAGTTAATGAAGACGTAATATCAACTAGTTTATTCCAAGTTTTGATAAATAGCCTCAGCGCTAATGTCAGAAACAGTATCAAATACTGGTGCTTCTTAGCCTAGGTTCCTTGGATGCTTCCAGGCAATACGTACACCTGCTAAGACAGTTAAAATTTTGTGTGCACGATGGACTACTACTCAGCCATAAGAAATGATGAAATCCGGCCATTTGTGACAACATGGATGGACCTTGAGGGTATTAAGCTGAGTGAAATAAGACAGAGGGAGAAAGTCAAATACCATATGATCTCACTCATAAGTAGAAGATAAAAATGACCAAAAAAAAAAAACACATAGCATTGGAGATTGGACTGGTGGTTACCATTGGGGAAGAGGGGAGTGGGGAGGGCAAAAGGGGTGATTAGGCTCACATGTGAGGGGATGCACTATAATTAGTGTTCGGGTGGTGAACATGATGTAATGTATCCAGGATTTGAAATATGTACATACGAAAAAAATTAAAATTTAAAAAAAAATTTTGTGTGCATGTCTATTTTTCTGGCTAGAGAGTCCATGGGTTTGATTAGATTATCAAAGGTACCAATGACCCAGAAAAGTTTAAGAACTCCTGCAGTAGACGGTTTAGGACAATAACACAAACACAAGCTAGAGAGTACATGGACCTGGCTCAGTAATCACCACTGGTCCAGAGGTTAGATCTGGATGTTAGTTCAATTTCAAAAAACAAAAAATGGGGGCAGCCAAGACAGAAAAAGACAAACTCTGTATGACTCCACTCATAGGTGGTAGTTAACATATAGACAAAGAGAACTGATCGGTAGTTACCAGGGGAAAGGGGGGGTGGGGGAGGGCACAAGGGGTGAAGTGGTGCACCAACAACATGGCTAATAATGATGTACAACTGTAATTTCACAAGGTTGTTAACTATCATAATCTTAATTAAAAAAAAAAAAAAAAACGGGAGCAGCCAGGTGGCGTAGTGGTGGAGTTAGTGCACTCCACTTCGGCAGCCAGGGTTTCACCAGTCTGGAGCCCTGGCATGGACCTACACACTGCTCATCAAGCCATGCTGTGGAGGTATCCCACATACAGAATGGAGGAAGATTGGCACAGATGTAGCTCTGTGCCAATCTTCCTCACCAAACAAAACAAAATGAAAAAACAATTGAGTGCTGTTTAGATTCTTGAGCAGGACAGAGAGCTGAAACGTCGTACTTCGAATGCTTCAATTCCTGAGCACTTTTGGTGACCTTTGCCTTCACCTCAATTTTAGATTTTCATTCTCATTATAGCTGATAAGAATGAGTCTGACATAAAGGATACCCAGTGCTGAGTTACACAGGCAACCTCTTCCTCTCAGAAATACCTTATGCCTCACCTTCCTCATCTCTAGATTATTATAAAGAATCTCTCCATTCAGTCACATAGGAAGTTCCTTCTTTGGGCAAAGCACTGTGTTATATGTTGCAGAGGAGAAAAAAATCATTTATTAGTTATCTTTATTCAGAGAAGCTTACAAAATAGTAGTGATACTACATGTAAAGTTAGCAAAAAAAAGTTTGAGAGGATGGGAAAACAAAATTCATTTGAATTCTGTAGAGAAGTTAGAACGAAAAAATACATATTTGGAAGGCTCTGAAGGGCTGAAGGTGCTCAGGGTGGACCCTAAATTGGGCTTTACATATCCTAGCTGCTAACAAGAGAGAAAAGCCGTAAGAATCTTCACTGGCTACAAAGTAAGAGCAAACCATTTAGTCACAAAAAAATCTAACTATTCCTGAAAGAAATGCATCCCCTGGGTCTTCAACGTGTGCTGTGAAGAGCTGTGCCATTATAAACACTGTGAGGAATTCATAGGCGGATTCCTTTTCCTGGTCACTCCGTATAAGAAGATAGCATCCTGTCATACCAGATTCAATAACATTGCCTCTGCAGAAATGGATATGCTTCTGAGGGTGAACACTCAGCCCTCTTGGTCTGTTTAGTCTGGGGAAGCCTTCAGAGTAGAAGATCAGCAGAGACGCTTCCATAGACACTGCTACACTTAGGTCACAGCTTTTAAAGATAAAAGAGTTATAAATCCAGGTTTATCCACACTCGCCAATAACCTGGAGTGCAGCTCTTCCATAAAGCCAGTTAAATATGCCGCCCCATGCTAAAGAGAAGTTCACATACTCTTGTGACAACTGGGGAACCTAAGAAAGACGCTCTGCTTCTACCTGGAGGGAGTCAAAATAAGACACTTGGGAAAGGCTACAACTGTCCTCACAAAATAATGTGGACTCACGATTCGAGATGAGGAGCTGAACACGTGAATTTACCATGCAGCCTCCCAAAGCCTCAGTGAAATGACTGTATCAAGATTTAAACCATAATGGCACTTAAGAGCAAGGAAGGGAACCATCATCAGATGGAAAATCAGAGGCATTTCTGCAATACAGAAAGCACTTGGCTTCAGATAAGCAGAGGATCTGTAGCAGAAATAACCCCAACTCAGCAACTAACCTGTGAGTCCTGGGGCATTTCATCCTCATTTTTGGTAGTGGATAAAAGGAATTCCCCTTCCACCACCAAATGACCTGGCCACCCTAAGCAGTGTCTCCCTGCAATGGCTTCTACTTTTAAGATAAAACTTGGAAATACTTCCTAAATGACAGGAACAAAGAGTCTTGAGTAGTGGAGAATTGAGGATGCCTTCGGAACCATGAGGCTTTCCTGCTCAGAATGATGGCAGCACTAGTGTTCTCATCTTCAGTGAAAAGATTAGAAGGTTCCTTACTGGGGATAGAGATTTGCCCAAGAAAAAATACTGACGTCTGGCAGGGGGAAGGTCTCCCAATAAAAGAGCTGTCTCGGTGCCTTATCACCACGAAATGAAGTTCACTAATCAATAAACCCCCCAAATGTGCAATAAACAGTGAATGAGCCTTTTAGCGCCTTACTCCTACATATGACCACATAGCAGATATCAAGATATCTGAGGAAACACTAACATGAAAGAGATTATAATAAGCAAACCAATAAAAGTAACTCAGAGAAAACTAAAACAATGCAGAAAGTGTCTTCTTCAGACAGAAGATATGTTTCTTATCTGTTGTATTTGAAATTTCATATGCATATTTTCAAGCTTATTACCTGACATGCTCAAAGCTTCCAGATCCTCTTTTCATGTTGCTTTTCCTGCTTGCTCTGCCAGTTCCTGAGGAAGGTGTTTTGAAGTTACTCCTTATGGTTGTAGATTTGCCAATTATTTGCTGTTGGGTTTATTTCAAGGACAATGAGCTTAGAAAAATAACAACAAAATGTTCCCAATGGAAATAGAAGGAAAGCAATACTGAAGATAAAAACAGAAATGAGTGAAACACAAGGGGGAAAATCCACTAGCCAGGGGTTAAAATTCAGAGGACAGAAGATGATTTCCACATTGTTCTTCCGGGTTGTAATTTCCCCAGAGAACTAGACACAGAAGCTGGCCATGGTGTCACGGAGTCTCCAGCCCTCCCTGAGATATGATGCACTCCACTCTCAGGTTATCAGCTCAGGGAATGGATTCTCCTGGAGACAGAGTCTGGGAGCCTCAGGACCGATGCATCCCGTCACTCCAGAAGGCCTGGGAGGGAGCATGGTCATTCTTCCAGCACCAGCTTGCTATTGTGAATACACTGAAAGAGCCAGACACCACTTCCCTCTGGGATGGGAGATTTTCAACTTATAATACTAACCCAAGAGCCTTTAAAATTT